TAATTAATATAAATTCTAAAATATTACTTTAAAATAGCGTTAGTATTCTTTATTTATTTATTAATTTTAAAATAGAATATAGTAAAGAGTTTAAATTTAATTTTAATTCTCTTATATAGTCTTTTTTAGAAATATATTATAAATTAAATACTTTAATCGAAGATAATAATAAATAAATATTCTTTCTCTCGCTATATAAATTCGATAAAGATTTAAACTACTATCTTTACTTTTAGAGAATTTAAAAAAATAAAAAAAATTTCTTATTAAGTTTATTTATAATTATTATAATATATTAATAAAAGTAATTATATCTAAGATAAATAGATAATAATATAATAAAGTTAATAGAAATATCTTATTAATATTATTCGAGAATAGAAAGAGATTTAAGTAAACCTTATTTACTTTTTCTATAAGTCTTAAATCTTTTATAAATATAATAACTCTTAATATAGTAGATAATAGAATTTATTATTTTTAATTAATAGTAAAGTTTACTTACTTTATTATAGATTAACAATCTATTAATATAATCTTTAGATAGAGAGTTATAAACGCTTTTAATAATTTTAATTTATAATTTAAGAATATTTGATATATATAGTCTATTATTAATATATAATAACTTATTATAAAAATAATAATTACTTAATTTTAATTTAAGATTATTCTTAATTATTTTAAATAATAGCTTTCTCTATTTAAATATCTTTAATTAAATAATTTTTTAAATAATATTATTATAATTATAAATATCTTTTATCTAATATAATAATTTAGAAGTATTAATAATAGAGACTTCTTTTAATTCTTCTAAAAACTTCTCTTAAAAAGTCTCTATTAAAACTCTTAATAATAATTCTTTATTAAACTTCTTATTATTAATATTATTCTATTTATTAAATTTATATAATATTATAATTAGAGAGATAATATTTTCTTTTATATTATCTAAAAGTATAATAATAAAATATATAATATTCTTAATATCTTCGTTAAGATTATTATCTTTAAAAATTATATAATATTAATAATAGATATAATTATTATTCTTATTTTTAAATAAATCTTTTATTTATTAAATAAGACTATTAAATTTAATACTTTATTTTTTAAATTAATAAATAATATAAAAGTTAAATTTAAAGAGAAATTTCGCTTATCTTATTTATCGAAAATTAAGTTATTTAAAAAATATAAAGTATTATAAATTCTTATAATCTAAAATAATTTTAATAAGATTCTCGATAAGAATTTTAGTTAATTTAGAATATTATTTTTTAAAGATCTATATTATAGCTATAAGTTTCTTATTATAGATATTATAATTATACTCTATAAAGAATATCTTTTTAAAGAGAAATATTATAGATCTAAATACTCTATCTTTATCTTCTTATAATAAGATAATAATAACTATAAAATTAGATACGTTCGTTTCTAATTAAATCTTTTTATTTAAATTAAAATAAGTAAATATAGAGATAGTAGTAAAAGCTTTCTTAAGTATTTTAAAAGCGAGTTATTTAGAATATTCTTAGATTTATAAATAGATAAAGTCTTTCTTCTATTAAATACGAGTAAAATTTATTAGAGATATAATAATTTTAAAATATCTTATAATAAACTTTCGATAGAAATTAGCGAATTTTAGAAATATTTATATATCTTTAATATATCTAAATTTCTTTTATTAAGTAATAATCTTAATTTTCTTTATATTTATTTCTACTTCTTTTATAATAATAATTAATTTTAAATATTTAATTCTAATAATATAAAAGTTATATTTATTAATATTAAGATAGAGATTAACTTATTAAAATTTCTTTAATATCTTTTCTATATACTAAATATACTTATTTTTAATATTATTATAAATAAGAATATTATCTAAATAAATAATATAGAATATATCTAGATATTCGCGTAAGATATTATTAATAAATATTTGAAAAGTAATAGAGATATTATATAACTCGAAAGATATTATTATATATTCGAATAAACTATATCGAGTAAAAAATATAGTTTTTTTTATATAACTCTTTTTTACTTTAATTTCGTTAAAAGCGATTATAATATTAAATTTATTATATATTTTTATTATATATAATTTAGCGAGGATCTCTTTAATTAATAAAAAAGTATTTTAATTAGAAATAATAAATATATTTAAAGTTCTATAATCTATATATAATTTAAATCTTCTATTAAATTTTTTTATAATTAAAATAAATATTATATAAAGAGAAGTACTTAATCTAATATAATCTTTTTCTAATATTTTATTAATATATTTCTTTATAACTAATATCTAGTCTCTAAAGAGCCTATAAATTCTTTTTAATAATAAAATAACTTTTTTTTTAAGATTTATTTTATAATTAATAGAGCGATAAGAGAGAAGTTTATTAATTTTAATAGAATTTTAAATATCTAATTATTTATAATATACTATAAAAACTTATTTTTATAACTATTTTATAATTAATAATTTCTTTTTTAATTTATAAAAGAATTTTTTATAATCTTCTATTATAATAGCGACGACGTTAATAATAAACTTTACTTTCTTATTAATAAAATTAGAAAATTATTTAAAATCTTAGAGTTATATAGTAATAATTTAATTCTCTAATTTTTTAGCTATCTTAATAAAGATATAGATAAAAATCTCTATTATATTTTTTTTTTTAAATATAATCTTTATTATATAATTTAAATTCTTTTTTAAAAATTTATTATTATTTTAAATAATAATAAATTTACTATATAATAAATAGTTAAATATATAATAATCTAAATTAAATATAATAATTCTAGATCTAAAAAATATATAAGAGTTATACTATTCTAGTTATAGTATTTTTAAAATAATATTAAATTATTTTAATAAGATAATTAAGTATTAAAGTTCTTCTATATAATCTCTTAAGGCGAGTTTTATTAAGACTATATATATAATATTAAATATAAAAATAAATTTATTATCGATTAATTATAATCTATAGAATTATATTAATATTACTTTAAATAACTTATTTACTTTAATAAAAGATATATTTATAAAATTTAATATTAAGACTTTAATATTTAAAAAATAATTAATCTTAATCTATTTTATTAATATAATAATTTTTTTATAAAAATCTAATTAATATTTATTTTATAAAGAGGTTTTAATAGCGATAATATACGTGAATAGAGAGATAAAAGCGAGTATTCTTTTTATTTCTAACTCTTTAATCTTTATATATAAAATTTTTAGATCTCTAGCGATAATTTAATTAGAGATATTTAATTTTTTAATTTTTATAATAATTCGATAAGAATATTCTTTTTAATATTAACGACTTTTAGAATTATATTAACTTATTCTTTTATTAATAGATCTATATTTTTATATAAAATATTATTATTACTAGAATAATATTTAATCTTTAAATACTTAAAATATCTATCTTCTTTTTAAATTCTATTTATTAATAATTTAAAATATTTATATTTTTATATATAGGAATTTTTAATAATAATATTATTATTTCTTTTAATAAAGAAAGTATTATATTAATTATTCGAGAGAATAAAATTCTTATTAATTTTATTAATCTCTTTCTTACTTTTTAAATTTAATATATTATTAATAACCCGAAAATCTATATTTAATACTTATAGAAAAATAATTAATTCTTAAAAAGTATTAAAAGGCTATTTTAAAATTTAATATTTTAGATATATAAAGATTAGTCGTTTTAGATTAAATATCTTATAAATATTAATAAATCTTAAGAAAGTAATAGCTATAGAGAATCGTATATAGAAGTTCTTAAACGATTTCTTCTTATCTATTACTCTTATATTAAATTTAAAATTAAATATCTTAATATTTAATTTAATAATTTTATTATATATTTTAAATATATTATCTAATTTATTAATTATTTTTTAAATAATTTAATATAAATTTAAGATATCTTTATCTATTTTTATTTTAATAATATTATATATAATAAACTTATAATAGTCTTATATATAATTAATTTTTTTAAATTTAATAAGAAAGATTATAGCGCTTTATTTAAATTTCGCTTTAAGATATTAATATTAGCTATTCTACTTATTTCGATTATTAATATTATAAAAATCTAGAATATCGAGATATCGTTTATTTAATTCTATACTCTTTACGCGATTTATAATAGAAGTATAATATAAATTTCGATAGATATTATTAATAAGAATACTCGATTAATAAGATATAGATATAATCTTTATATCTTCTTTATCGAAGTTTTTTAAATTAGTTAATATATAAGATTATTACTTCTTTAGCTATTATTTTTTATACTTTAAATCTTATTTAAGTTTTTTATTTTTTTTAATAAATTTTATAATATTAATATAATATCTATTACGTAAACTTTAAAGTCTATTATTAATTTCTCGCTTATAGAATAATTAATTATTACTATTATTTAGCTAAGTAATAATTACTAATACTTCTATCTTAGTATAAGTAATATTCTAATTAAGTTATTTATTTTATTATTAAAATATTTTAATATTATAACTAATAGTTTAAAAGCTCTCTATTAGAGTTTTTAATTTATTATATTAAATATGTCATGAGATGCCTCAGGGACACTCATAGGGCCACTAGCGTAGGCTTGGCACCGCACATATCTGCCCTGCAGGCACATAGAATACTCAACAATCTTTACAACCACACACATATATGAGTCAAACCATAATGATTCCTTAACAATTGGTAGCAACACCTTAAGATCTAATTCCACTTGATCCTACGATGTAGTAGACGCCTCTTTACGAGCCACGTCTACACCACACGTTTACGCAAAGCCCACATCAACACCTAATAGTGTGACGCTCCAAGCCGGACCTCCAATACACTCGTTGGTCATCGAGTACCATTTGACCAAAACCCACGCCCACATCGATCCTTTTGATAGGCCTATCGATATCAGAATACCACAATGCAAGCATTCCTACAGACCCTACAAGCATACGACAACGGTATCCTAAGAGAATACTACCCATGGGAGTATGACGCAGAAGCCCAACAATGCTTAGAGAGAGGCAATAAACCGTCCTATTTCGTCACCGAAGAAGACTGCAAGTTCTTTCAACAACAGGCCAAAATCCTTCAAGACCGAGCGGCCTACATACGTCAAGAATGGGCTAGACAAGAGGCAGCCTTACAAGCCATTCAGCCAGTTACTCAGCCAGTCACTCAGCCAGTCACTCATCCAGTCACTCAGGTAGCCACTCAGCTAGCCACTCAGTCTGATACTCTACAAGAGGAGGAACTACAACAGGCGAATGCGGAGAACACTGCGGAGAACACTGCGGAGAAAGCAAGCGACAACAAGGCCACCACCATCAAGAACACGGCTCAGCTCTCCAAGATCCCACGCACAGGCCTACGCTCCACGATCCCACGTCAGATCGCCACTCAGCAAGCGGAGAACGACACTGCAATTTGGCCTCTCATCTCCGCTACACTATTGTGGCACACAATCACTGAGTTGAGCATACAAGAGAAGGATCTACTACGACGGTCACAGCCAAATCACTATGGCTATGGCAATTGGACCTCTGCAGGCAAGGGTCACATCGGACGATACATATTTGGACGAATTGAAACCGTCTGATGTCTTGCTTCAACATCCATTTCTTATTCAAAAGCTTTCACTGCGGCAGGAGAACTCGTGGGATACACACCACTAATTAGCCTGGTGTCTCCACTCCTTTCCGGTTTTTCGAAAAGCACACATGCATGCATGCTTTTTGCCATGAGGACATGGCATTTCTCTGTTTTTTGTGGGCAATTGTCATGAGATGCCTCAGGGACACTCATAGGGCCACTAGCGTAGGCTTGGCACCGCACATATCTGCCCTGCAGGCACATAGAATACTCAACAATCTTTACAACCACACACATATATGAGTCAAACCATAATGATTCCTTAACAAAATATTAGAAATATTAATAGCGCTTTCTATAAAATTTTATAAATTAATAATAAATATAAAGATTATAATAAACTCTTTTTCGATAATATCTATAAATTATACTTCGATATAATCTAAATTAAATTTAATAATATATCTTCTAAAGATAAAATGCTTTTTTTTATATTATACGAATAATATAGTAATATTTAAAATCTTTTTATTAAAATTCTCGAGTTTTTCTAGACGATAACGTATTTATAATTTATATATAATAATTTAACTTTATATATTATCTAAATTTAAGATTAATAAGTTTATTAATATTAAGCTAATAAGAGTATAAAGAAGATTTAATCTAAAGTCTATTTTTTTTAATATATTAAAATCTTTTTTTTTTTTAAATTCTTATTTAATCTAGTTAGATTAGCCTTTATATAAATAAAAGATTTTCTTTTAAATAATTTTTTAAGTAATAAGCTTCTTTAGCTATAACTACTAACTTTTTAATAATATACTTTCTTCTTAATTATATATTTAATATAATTAATAAATAAATCGCTATCGCTTTAGAAGAAAGATAGATAATATTATATTAAGAATTTAATAATATATATAATAACTCTATATTATAGTATAAAGAGAATATTATTTATATAGAATTATTATAAATATAAGCTTTATAGTAAGATAGAAAGATTAAAAGACCTTAATACGCTAAGCTTAATTAGATTATAATATAAGTAAATAAAATTATAAGATTATTAAAACCATGATATTAGATTAGCCTTTATATAAGTAAAAGATTTTTTTTTAAATAATCTTTTAAGTAATAAGCTTTTTTAGTTATAATTACTAACTTTTTAATAATATATTCTCTTTTTAATTATATATTTAATATAATTAATAAATAAATTACTATCGCTTTAAAAGAAAGATAAATAATATTATATTAAAAATTTAATAATATATATAATAACTCTATATTATAGTATAAAGAGAATATTAGTATATATAATAGAATAAGATAGAGCTAAATTAGAAAATCTTAAATTTATATATATAGCTAATTATAAATTTAAGATTATTATACTCTTTAATTAGACTAGCTAAATTAACTCGCTAATTTTTCTAAACTCTCTTATTAAAAATTTATATATAAAAATTTTATACTCTAAAATAATTAGCTCTCTACGAATATTATTATTTTATAATTTTATAAATTATAAAACTTAATTTACGCTTTCTAATAATATAAAAATTTTAAAGTTTAGCTTACTATTAATAGATTAAATAGATATTTAAATATAATAGTTATATTAAACGCGTCTAGAATTAAATAATAATTCTTTTATCTATTTATTTATATAATTATTATTCTTTTATTACTTTATTAATTCTATTAATTTTATTAATATAAATATAATTATTCTTAATACCCCTCGCGAAAACGTTATTAAACGCTTTAAATATATATATTTCTTTTACTCGCCTCTTAAAGCCTCTATTAACGCGAATTTATTATTACTAGTAATTAAGATCGTAAGCGAGCTTAATAGTTATTTACTATTACTTATAAACGCGTTAAAAAGTCTTTAAAAAGAGTTTAAACGAATTTATAGCTATTATTCTCTTTTATATACTTTTTTTAAATTAGCGATATTTAATTAATCGCTTAATTAATACTATTTACTCTATTAACTTAATAATCTACTTAGTTAAATCGTTAATTAATTATTTAATTATCTATTTAATTAATTACTTAATTAATTACTTAATTAATCACTTAATTTAATACTCTTCTTATAAAAGAAGAAGTAAGAAAAGAAATTATAATAAATAAATACGAAGAATACTATAAAGAAATTAAGCGATAATAAAATTATTATTATTAAAAATACGACTTAGCTCTTTAAGATCTTATATTATATTAATTATTTATTTAATTAATTACTTAGCTAGTTACTTAATCTAATACTCTATAAGAGAAAAAGTAAAAAAAGAAATTATAATAGATAAATATAAAGAATATTATAAAGAATATTATAAAGAATATTACGAAGAAATTAAGCGATAATAAAATTATTATTATTAAGAATACGACTTAGCTCTCTAAGATCTTATATTAAATTATTATTTAGTAAGCGAAGAATATTATTATAATTTAGTCTATTATTTCTATTATAATTTAATCTATTATCTTTACTATAATTTAATTTATTATCTCTACTATATTAATATAATATATTATTATAATAATATTATAAGAGAAGAATCTATTATAATAATTATAGTTAATTAAATCTCTATAAAAGAAATATCGAATAATATATATTTAAATAAATTAAAATTATTCGATATCTATAGCTATTTTATTATTTAAAAGATTTTACTATAATAAAAGATATTATAAAATTTATATTACTAATTAATATATTATCTCTATTTCTTTTTAATATTTTAATACTTCTTATTATAAGAATATAGTCTTTCTCTATTTTTTATAGATAATTATTATAAATTAATTCTTTATACTCGATATATCTTTCTAATTAAATCTTAACGCGCCTTAATTCGTATATATATATTTATATTATATAGATTAAATTAATTTTATAATAATAAAAGTAGATTAAAAATGTATAGTAAGTAATTAAAATTCGATTTAACTTAGGGCTAAGGCTAAAATTCGATTTAATTTAAAAAAATCCAACTCTATAAATTTAATTCATAGGTCTTTACTTATTATTTATATAAGATTATTATAAATATAAGCTTTATAGTAAAGTAGAAAGATTGAAAGGCCTTAATACGCTAAGTCTAATTAGACTATAATATAAGTAAGTAAGATTGTAAGATTATTGGAACCGTGACAGGTTGCTAGTATCCAGGTCTAAAGCTCAACTCAGGTTCGCTGAGGCTTAGACATGTCAGCGGACCTCGGTAAGGCCGAAATCGTGGTTCCATAAACAGCTGATATTTTTGACGGGGTTCGACATACCTTCTGACCTAAACCGGGCGCATGAGTTGATCCTCGTGCCGTGACTATACAACGGTGAACCAACCGTCTCCGTGGGAGGAAACTCTATCCTTTCGCTATTATCCAAAGTATCAACACTGCGCAACACCATCTCGTTGGAATGAGGTTCATGCGCACCCTGGAGAATCACGCAGCTATGGACGTAAGCGATCTTGCAGAGTGATACTGCGACGCGAACTTCCCCCTCAGGCACGAGCATGAGCCAGGTTTGGAGCTCTTCTGGGAAAGCTGCTGCACCACCATCTTCAGGCGCGATATCCATCACCGCCTTGATTGGAAGGCTACATGCTCTCTCGCTTGATCGCAAGATTCCAGTCTCGGATATCTTGACACTGGCATTAGGCCTAAACTCCCACTGCAACAAAGATGGGTGGTCGACCATATCTTGATACCAACCTTCGACCAAGCCCGAGCCTTGTGCAGTATCAACAGAGAAGTCTCCTGGGGACCCAAACGGTAACATTGAGCCTGAGACTTCGTCCAAAGGCACGGTCAAAACGAATGGTTTGAATGACATGTAGAACAATGACTCCATCTTTTCTGCAGCTTCGCGGACAAATTCCAGAGGATAAGCTCCAAGCACAATGTACGTGTCTGGCCCAACCCAAGAACGACAACGCGCGTAGCCCTGTTTCCCAGGCCGAATACTAATCGTTGCATACTGAAAAATCGTCCGGCACCCTGTGGCCAATCGGTGAAATGAATGCGCTCCCTGAAAAACGCCTCCCTGTTAACCCCAAAACAGCGATAAAGATTGACCGAGTGTAGTGACAGGATTGGGTACTATGGAGGACGCCTGCCAATGTTTGTCACAAAATATGACATCAGGGCATAGGCAAGCTTCTTAACACGTCCATAACGAGGACAACCAAGGGGCCAAATCCTGAGAGTCGACAATCAGGTCGATAGTGGCCTCAGCCTCGTCGCTAGCTTGCTGCAAAAGCTCTTCTGTTTCGTAGTAGTCTTTCTGATGACAACGGTGTAAATAGTTCACACAGAGCCAGCGAGCTGCGACCTGAGTATTTGGCCAGTAATGGATTGTCCTCATCCAAGCTATGCATGCGTAGGCGTTAGTACTGCGGGGTGACTATAGCAGAAGGTCGTACTGTAGTCTTGATTACCGAAGATTGGTAATCTCCTCTGCTAACGTACTAATCAAAGGTGACCAGGTGGTCCAATGGCACTAAAATTTGAACTCCTGCAAAGGCCATTTCTTTTTTTGGACCACCTGCCCCTAGCGTGGCTAATACATATATAATTAGGGGCTTCCTTAAGCTCTTCGACAATCACCGTTCATTCATTGCTCACCACCCACAAGAAATAAGGCCTCCCCCTTTCATCATCCCCTATCTCCAGCCAAGGACAGGCTTCAACGCAAGCTGGAATACTTGTATCAAGTGACTGAGCTAGAAATATTGAAGCTTGTGGCTGCTTGTGGTCTGAGGGTCCCGAAGATAAGATATGCATCTATTTTGTATGTGACAAGCATGCGCTACCCGCTGTAATGCGGCATACTGAGTACAACGTTCGCGTTGAGCCTGCGCCAGTCCGAGGAAGGTGTGAGAATTGGGCTGGAGAGTCCGCGACTCGTGTACGAACTTGAATTGGAACAGCAGAGACATGTGTGTGTGATATGTAGAAAATCCTTGAGCCCTGCAACTCACGCTCCACATTCATGTACCGATTAGCAGCTTCCGTGGCCTCTGCGGCTTTAGCCATCGACTTTCGAGCCGGGCTTCAACAAGAATCCAGCTTGCGCACTCCAATTCCACCATTCGAGGAGAATTCGAAGTGAGTTGATTTGAGAGACTGAAAGGTTTTAATCTGAACTGCTTCGGACCAAAATCTTGCGCGAGGAGATCTTTTATGCGAGACCAATTAGCCAATGCCCTGCGGTGTCCTTCTCCTGTGCCTGGATGACCCTCAAATTGCTGCACCTCGTCCCCAAGTGGCTCTCGCCTCCAAGCATACTCAATCCTTAAAGAAAAACAAGGGAGAGCCCTTCACAGTAGTGTCATTGAGTGGAAAGCGGATCGCTAGCAAAACATAAGACCACTAAACACCGATGGAAGGTGGGCTGATATCTGACTGCTCATTTCAGGGATCTCCCAAAACTCCAGTCATGCATTGATGGCTAGACTATGTGCAGCTCTGATCAGCTATAATCGCGACGTCTCTGTGGAAGCGCTGTCCGGAAGTGCTCGTCTTGAGCGAATACTACGAACATATTGAGTTGTCTTGGTCCGGGCATCCAGGCAGCAGCATGCCAAGACCAGCTTACTAAGCAAAGATCGACAACTTGATTGGTCGTTGATGCCCACGCTCGGATCCTGCTTCTCGTTTCCTCCTGTTTCTCTCATTGACCACGTCAGACCAGAATTCTCCTGCAGACTATGACTCGTCCGAAACATGCAGCCAGGGATGTTTGAAAACTCGTGCCCTTGGCCACGACGGTTGCTGCATATCCAGACCCTAACATCCTACGAATGGCGACCGGGGAACATCTATGGTGGATACCAAAATCCAAGATACAATGCTCTATCATATACATGGGGTAGATGGCAGCTTGTCGAAGACGAAATGCCAGAAGTTGACGCGATCCGAGTGAAGGGGACATCTTGGAGCATTCCCCGAATCGATCCTGTTCATTTCACTGCTGAGAGATTTGCAGCAGTAATTGCAGACACTGCCGGACCTCATCCTTCCGAAGCCGGTGTGCCTCGAGTTGACTTTCTTTGGCTGGATGTCGCCTGTATCGACCAAACCCCCAGATCCCGCGAGAAAGCTCAGGAAATCGGTCGCCAGGCCAAGATATTCCGGGGCGCTACTCAAGTCTTCGTGTGGTTGACTACTCATGACATATCCTGGTATACCACCTGGGCATCCGAAATGGAGCCTCAGTTTGAGCTTATGTGCGGCCCCAAATTTCATACTGAGGTCGACGTTCGTGATTGGGCAATGGAAGTAACAATGATTGTTGCCGACTTGCTAGCTGACCCTTGGTTCTCCTCGCTTTGGACTCTTCAAGAGACGTTCCTGTCTCCAGCAGCCGTGATAATCCCGGGCGACGCAATGAAGAGCAGTATTGACCTCTGTCGTCTCAGTTTTATCAGTGAGACCCTGCAATCAATCAAGGATGCTTTGGGCTATGATGACGAGATACGGGAAGCCGATGAAGAGTGTGGCTTAGGTGCTATGATTGACCTGACTGGGCTTCTTGTGTGCCTCGATCAGCATTCTATGGGCTTGTTGACGGCTGCAGGACATCGAACCACTCGCCACGAGGAAGACCGTGTGTACGGAATTATGCAAGTTTTTGAACTCCAACTTGGTAATTCGGCCCCTGGTATCGATGAAAATCGTGCTTTCAGCTTGGAAGAGCTTAACGATCAGTTGGGCGCAGCATTATTGGTAAAAGACCCTATATTGAGCCAGATGTATATCTATCAGGGTAAAATTGAGCCAAGAAAGGGCTGGCGATTAGCCAGATGTTCGATCGTTCCCTCTGAGTCAAAGGTTTTCTATCATCGCAAGCGGGCTCAACCCACAGTCGAGAATCGTGCAACGCTATCTTGTCAACGGTTAGAGGCTTCCCTCTGGGGCAAATTCTCAGGACCGATGGTATCATTTCGAGTTTTCGCACAGCGTCTTTTGCACGATTGGCCGAACGCATGGTCTTATGGGGGCGCGACCATATTGCTTGACAAGGAAATTCTCGACGAATGCCCTGAAGAATACCGTGCGACCAATCTCTCCCGGGCTGCATTTTTGGCGCCTTATACACCAGAGGTGACAATTTTGCTTTTGGGATTACAAAGTGAACTCAAGAGCGAAGGCGAAAAGGGTCGTAGATCAGCGGTTGGATTGCTCCTACACCGGTTTTCGGATCTGGCATTAAAGACTGCGACGGAACCCGAAATTTGGAAGCGTGTTGGTCTCTTTATATGGAGTGTCGACTCGGAACGGCTAGAAGAGGAAGCAATGCGCAGCAACGAACCTTTCAAACTACTCGCGAAATCTATTGAGAACTCTAAGACTATAACCAAATACCTTCCTTATCTGAAGGGCGAAGGCCCTGAGTGGAAGGATGCGTCAGGGTTGTATGGGTAGCTCCAGGTCATGTCACACGATGAGTTCTAGGTTACAAAAGTGCCACTCATCAAGCCCTAGACTCCTCTCGTGGCGTTCATCTGCATTCCTATTACCAGAACTTATATATTACTTTGATCACATCGTTTACCCATTGGATGCGGGTACAGCTTATGACAGCCTCGGCGAGCGCCCTCGTTGTTCGATGTGGAAATAAACAGCTCGTTCTGTGGTTCGCCCGGGGGCGCTGGTTTTGTGGAGAAGTTGAGTACCACGAGGATGCCTTTATTCCTGAATGTCTTATTCAATACATTGATCTTCGGGACTGATAGCAATCTTGCTTCTTCGCTAGTTACTCATACTTCATCCTTGAGTCTTTGGGATTTGAAAGTTGGAGGTTGACACTATAAGACGAATTTAGGAGACCACACTTCCATCACGATGGTCGACAATCCTAGTCCCCATGATATTCGCGCGCAGCAATTGCTCGTTCAGGTCCAAAAAAGCATCCCCTAGCGCGCTGCGCATGCTGCATTACCAACCGTATCCCAAGCAGTGCGAACAAACGTAGTCGAACACAGCGCTACGGAGTCCACATTCCCGTTCAACCCCCCAATGACGGCCATCAAATCTCCAACTCGTCCCATCGGCATGAGGGACCGTCCGCGACCTGATCGGCTCCAGAAGAGTGCAATACTAGTCACATTGGCAGTCCCGGCCATGTGTGGGTATCAAGGTGTGACGGTCCCTCTAGCGAGTGGACCGACCTGGCGGAAGTTGATCGCGCACTGTAGTCGCAGAGGCAATGGTCGCCGCATCGAAGATGTATGCCTACATCTCTAACGGTCGAGGCGATGCCACTAGATTTTCAACGTGGGAACCGACTTCTCATGGGTTGCAGTAGACCTGGACATTCGCCTTGCAGGTGTAGATACCGTTTTGGAGAGCGGTGTACCCGTAATGACATTCTGAGCAGTCGATGAAAGAGATACCGCTCTGGCTTGCGAGTGGGCCCCTGGCGACGGGGACTACGGCCGGCATTGGAGCAGCGAGAGCAGTTGGAAGAAGAGGGAGGAGACAGAGGGAGATAGAGGCCTTCATGGTGATGATGGGGATGTTGCGAAGGATTGAGGGTCGGGTGATGGAAGACTGCTGATCCAAGGAGATGACTTTCTAATCAGGAGTCTGGAACTGTAATAACGACTTCAAAGTTTTTGTATTTGTACTAGTACAGGCACTGAGACTGACACTGTATGATAGATTTTATGAGAATTGAGGCACCATATAATTTTCATAGAGGATGAGTTTCGGGTATTTTTGCATCAAAAGTGAGGCTGGGAGGCTTTGACCGAGGCTTGAGAGCCAGAAATACACCACACGAATACAAGTAGATTACGCGAACACGGTAATCTTTTGTAAGCAGCACAGCCCCCCAACCTCCTCGTAATGTACTTTAGATCCGTAAGGATATACCAAAATAGGTAGGAACCAAACTATTACAGTAAAGTAGGGTTACGGCTCGCTACAATGCCCTGGACAGAGCGAAGGCAATTCTGCTGGGGTGTTTACGGTAAGGCAAAACGATACCACATTGAAGAAGGGAAAGCAAATATCTCGATGAATTTTACCCAACGAGACTTTATATTGAATTGCTTTCTGAGAGAAAGAATGACAACATGAGTGGTCCATAACGACATATACTGAGTAAATACTATCGAAAGCAACAAACATTCGCCATCTCGAAAGGCCGATTGGATACTACCACTTCTTGTCAGAAATATCCCAGCTCGCCACCGGCCTGAATGCCAACGCTACCATGGAATTGTGACAGCACCGTGACGACTGCTCGATGATCAAAAGTTAGGCTTCTCGTAGCGATGCTGGTCTTTGCCCTTGCGTTGGCATCTCCATCGGCTGCCCGCCCTCGTGCTCTTCCACTAAGTCGACCATCTATTTCCTGGCATTCAGTGCCTGAAAACGTAAGCGATGCGACACACAAGAGAGTCTCCCACGTACTGCTGCGAGTAGACTATACCGTTGCCACAATATGAGAGCCGTATTCAGAGTTTGATGAGCCTCAATTTTCGCACTCCAGTGGCTGTAGCTATTTATAGAACAAGGCTGAGGCCAAAAACGGCCCATACCAGTTCGGTACTAGAGGCCGATTTACGCTCGTAGAGCAATTCTCAGCAATGAGATTTTGATCTCCATCATTGTCCATCACCACAGCGGTTTGGCCATGACGATATCAACTCATCGAAGATTCGAACGGAGTTCTTCTGATTTTTATCGAAACTGTCAACTCGCTGTCGTGTGTCGCTGTGAAGCCTCCACCATGAGAGCTTTCTCTTACATGGGTACGATACAATAAGCCCAAAGACCAGAAAAACAGAGAGTAAGCTGTTGCCTTCTGAGAATATCGAGACTCAATAGGACCATTCCCAGGCCTGTGATTCATGTCTCATCCAGCTCAGGCCCAATATAGGAAGCCTGACGAGGCTCTGGCTTGTGCGAAGGATGACACCGTCGCTGTCGGATCCTGCAGGATTCTAGAGCTGCGTGGCGTGTGGCGCGCGTGGACAAAAACCGCTTCGAGATCTTGGAATAACTTTCAACGAGCTTGTGCCACTATCTTATGCAGGGCAAAGCCGTCCATGCAGGTACAATCATAGCTAATCTGTCACGGATCCTTCCGATATCTAGATCAATATTAAGAACGTCCACACAAGGCCTCACACCTTGGGGCCTACATCTAGTTAGACAACACAGCCTCCAATGATCTCTGATCAAGTGACTCTCTCGTTTTCGAGCTGTGAATACCTTCAAACACAGCGGATGGATCTCCTTTCGCCTTCTCTGTGCGCAGTACTAGGTAGGTGACCACTCCCTAAAAATGGAACATCGAACTTAAGTGTAGGCCTATGGCTTGAGTATGTTCGACCCAACGGGAAAGAGCGTGACTGGCGCATACATCATTTGGCACTGGAAGAAGCTCGTTCAGCGCCGTCGTATCGTTACTGATCATGGATAACACAGGAATTCAGCGAAGCGTTCTACCTCTTTTCAGATTTCACACTTGACGCCGAAGAGAAAGTTGCTGTCAGTTGAGGCTCTTCGGGTAACGGATCCTTGGGGATTTGTTTCATTTCACCGGATCATCTTACTGTCCGGGCTACGCCCGAGGAGTCATAATCCAATAGGACTACACCAGCAAACTTCAGTATGGTAATTCCTAAACCACTGCTTCCTGCTTACCTCAACACAACTTGTGAAACACAATCCACAACAGCTAAGATCGAGAAGCCTCATGGCCACCTTGAAGCATCCAGCCCCTCATACTATTACCGTCAGCGCAAGGAAGACTCAGGAGCACGCGACCATCTTGCGCTACTTTCGCCTCTGAAGCCTAACAAAGATGAAACGCATCCACGATGGCTAAGGTCAGTAAGCCACAAGACTCAGTCAAGGCGTCCACCACTTGATACCACTGTAATGGCAGTCAGGAAGCTTCAGGAACATAGGGTCCTGTTGCACTGCTTCTCACCTATGGTGCCTAAGAATGTTGAAACGCATCTACGCTGCCTGTAGGAATCAGGTAGCATAACACCCTTTGAACCATCGAAGTAAGGTCGGTCCGTGTATATATACCCCGTCGCAATCCACTGTCACAGCTTATCCCAAACAGCATCTTCTTCACCTTCCAGCATCATTCTCTTTGTCTTCTCTCGTATATACTGCTAAATTTCCGACACTGGTTGTCTCGTTCACGCATTTTACTCTCATTTAACAGTCTACAATCACCACCACCAACACACCTTCTCACATTCCCTATCTTTCACTTTACACCAACTCCACCATTACCACCAACACGATGCAGGTCCATCAGCTCGTGGCACTATTGCCCCTCCTTGCAGCTCCCCTCAGCGTCCTCGCCATCCCCAACGGAGCATGCGACGGGAAAGCCGACGGCCTATCCATCACATGGTCCGGCAACGCCGAGGGCGCCTACTTCACCTTCAACAACGGCGCCAGCACCGGCCCCGCAACCGGCTGCACAGACCTCGGCTCTGGCTTCGCCGGCCAAGTCGGCGTATCCTACATGGGCGCCAACGGCCACCCCCACGCCGACGGCACGATTCTCGAAACCAACCCGTCCGGCTACTTCGACATCAGCTACATCCTCGGCTACACCCTCCCCGTCGTCTGTTCCGCCAACGGCGCCTCCACCGGCTGCGCCATCGACCTTTTCGGCACCGGCACCCCGTGCCCCAGCGCCGTGCAGGACGGCGTCTGCATAAACCCCACCGGCCCCGGCGGATCCAGAGACCCAGGCAGCTACCCAAACTCCGCGACCGCTTATCCGTGGTGCAACGCGTGTTCACCACCGGACCCATTCTTCGCACCCTGCTCGGGCTCCGCCTACACCTACCCTTACGATGACGGTGCGACGGTGGGACCGGCTACGGGCTCTATCCAGTGCTGTGTTGGCACCGCGTGCGGCTCTACGGGCAGGGAGGGTAGTGGGAAGGGGGGCAGCCACGAGCTGAACCGAGCCCAACCTTGCGCTCCTTGCGCTTCGGGCAGCAAGCGGAGCCTTCTCGGGCGGAGGTGGAGCAAGGAAGAGTAAGCTGGTTCTTACTCGGTGAGCGTCTATTCGATGGGGACTGGGTGTGCTATTTTCTCCATGGGTTCTGCCGCATAGCGCTGGAGTATGGGTCTTTTTGGATTCGCGATCTCTTTCTCCTTTTCGAGCATAGCGTCGGCGCACGTTGTCTTGGGTTTGCGATTCACTGTCTCTGTCTTTGAAGCATAGCGTTGGAGTCTATTGATCTTGCATTGCACATTCGGCGCTCTTCGCACGGTCTTGTTTGATATTTGCTGGACATATGGGACATGCTGGACATAAGGGGCGCTTCTTGTGCAGGATACCCATCAGCGCTTTGGGCATTGGTTGTTTCTTGTTTTTACTGTCTTTGTGTACATATCGTGCTCCTCAGAGTTTCACACTCTTGACTCACAGTCCTTACCCTTGAACAGAACGCATTTTCGATGTCATTCATTCATACTCTCCTCGCGTCTTTTGAGCAAAGTCGCTTCGGAAACTTCTTGACCCAAGGCCGCTTAGCGCGAAAGTACGGCACCATTTGCGACTTCCCCTCGATCGGCAAAGAGAACCTTATCGTCAACACTACTGTGGGGAACAGTGATTGGCCATCGATGGATCATGACCCGGAGATCCATCCGCGGACACTGCCCCCCACAATGCGGCTACTGCATAGCGTCCGATAAGCATCTGATCAACAGTGATAAGGAATTCCATACATCACTTTACATTCACCATTTATCTAACTCTCCCCATCCTCTCCAATCCCACCGTCCCCCACATCCACAACCGTAACCCCCCACTCCTCTTCACGCCAACGCAAAGTAAAAACGCTAACCCTCATCTCCGCCCCCCCCTCCCCCTACGCGCGCAAGAACCGCATCGCCCCGCTCGAGAAAAGCCATCCCTTCCGCCCTCCGCGCCGAGATCCCCCGGGCGAACGGCACCGAGACCCCCGCGGCCCAACCCGCTGGAGAAGCTTGCCGATCCTGCTCTTCGACGCACGTCCGGCCGCCGATCTACGAGTCGTGGTACATCCAGGAGCACATTGTGCGGAAGTGGGCGGGGACGGGGCCGCGGTTGATGCCGGAGGGGGTGGAGGGGGCGGGTGCAGGTGGTGGCGGATGGGGGGTGTGGTGCGCTGGTGTGTAGGGGGGGTTTGTTTATTCGTTTATTTGAAAAACTTTCTTCGTTCCCGATTATTTGTTTGTTAGATTTTTTGTTAGTTCAACTATCCGTTTGCATTGCTCAACGTACCTATACGCGCTCGACTGACGAACAAGCTACACCAAAAAAACAGGGGCCTCGCCTTCTTCGAACCCTCCCGCGGCGACCCGCCGAACCCCCGAATGGCTCGCCCGGCAGCTGCGCAAAGCCCACGGCGCCATCAAAGCCACCGACGCCTTCGTGAGAGCGGGCGACGGCGACTTCATCATCGGCGACGGGTTGACCGTCGCCGACATCGCGGCCGGGTGCGTGATGGACATGGGGGAGACGCGGTTCGGACTCATCAGGTGGAAGGAGGAGTACGCGGAGCTGGGCAAGTGGTGGGAGAGGCTGGAGGAGCGGGAGAGTTTCCGGCAGACGAGGCCGGTGAGGTTTGATTTGCGGGAGAAGGTCGCGTGATGGAGTTTTCGGGACCCGGTGGTTGGGTTGGCGCTGGCTTGCTGGCGGAAGGAGCGATGGAGATGTTTGAGGCGGGGTCGGGGAGTTGTGGGGGAGTTTGACCTGGTCACGGGATGAAGCTGAGTGTTTTGTTGCATAGACGCGTATCTGTTTCCTGGAGGGTTGCCTAAAAATCAATCCGATACGCGCAACTCGTGCAAACACCACCCGCTGCCTTTGGCCTGCTGTTAGCACTCTGACCGCCAGACCTTAGGACGGAAAGCTCGCCGACTAACGTTGAACAAGACCTGCTCTGTTACCTCTCACCACTTTCAAAAGAGCGCCCGAAACCGCTGCAAGACCGGATCCCTAGTTCCGACCCCTGACGCAAAAATAGTCTTTTCGACTCTCGCGGGCCGCTGGCCCCTCGTGTCCTCTTTTCAAGCATGTATGGCACCAAATAACAACATCTATAAAACAGGCCCCTTCATAACGGTGGATCTGTTCTTCCCAAGGCAACGCAGATTTTTCGTACAGTGAGCGGGCGAGTAAACGCTGCGGTATCTGCAACGCCTTCTCTTTCGATAGCCAGTCTGCGGTACCCGGCCTTGAGCGGATATTGAGTTACGGTAGCCAGCAACCACTGGTGTAGCGATCCCAAGAATTAGTCCTGCCATGTATGAGCAACAGTGATAGTCAAAGTCAGGGATTCAAAATAACACACCCAGTGATGATAGGACGTATACAGATTCATCCGGGTATCTTTCACGAAAGCTGCTAAAGATGTTGACGACGAAAGAGACGAATGGATAGGCAACAGCGACTGAAACTTGCCAGCGAAAAAATCCTGACCAACAACTCATAGCAAGCTTCACCTTGCCGAACGATCCAACGGGGAATCACTAAAGGTCCACCGCAGGCCGAGGAAGATACGATCTCCCGAGGTTGTCTCTGCCGGTATCTTACACAGCAGGCACCTGGCTGGCTATCATCATCAACGATTACTCTGTACCGCCTGATAAATGTCTTACGCCGTGCGTGGAGAAACGGGAATTTACGTATAAGGGAAGATATCAGAGGAGAGAGTCGGTCAAAAGGCGATACATACTTCCTCGGGTCGCCTCGACTGTGGGCAGATACAAAGGACCAGATGACTCTTGGGTGGCAATGTCATCACATGTCGTAGAGGATGTTGAAAAGTGGACCCGGCGCAGTGCCAGACCCCTTCAGCTCAGGCGTGCGTGCAACTTGTCATTTGGCGTCGTGATGGCCTGAGGCTTACTGTGGCATGACAATCATACGTTGTGCCGGATGACGGACCCAGCTGCAGGCTTGACGAGCGTGATCTGTTAGGGGGGCGAGGACATTTAAATCCGTCGAAGTTTTCGAAGTCTGCACGCAAAAGGGGGGTAAGGTCGGTGGCTGCTCTGGATTGTGTGAGTCTTAGAGATTAAGATTATCGCTAAAGGAAATGGATGGTTTAGTTCTTATCCACATTAAGGCACGTAATTACCACCTAGGCCTGAGCGCAGTAAAATGTTAGAGTGCTACCAGCGGAGTGGATAGCCTGCTTGACGGATTTGTTACAATCAGCGCCTTCCATGGATTTGACCTACATCCCATTCTCCACTCAGAACATGAATATCTTTCTTTCTTTTTTGATTGGCAGTGACTCGCTAGAAACCCGCGAGCTGGCGCAAAACGCCGACATTCTGTTTTCTGTGGAGACGCAGTTCACCAACTTCACTGTTCCGGTCTCCATTACACCCAAGGGTCATAAGCACATCGATTGAATACATTCGACGCTCACATCCACTCCCTATGGTACATACTTGGTCAACTCCAAACAATCTCTCTGTTCCGCATTCTCAATCTTATTCCACCAATGCTCCGTAGACTTGCCACCCCGTATCTTCCCCCTCGCCTGTTTCTCCAGAAACTCCTCTCTAGACTTCGTCCCATAGTGATGTAAGCCCCATCTGTCCCTTGTGATTGGCTTCCGATCGCAAGACTTGTCAATCACGTCTCCATGCTCTCCGACTTGGATAGCTCCATTCTTCAATACGGCGACGCAGTGGCAGTTCCACATGGTGTCAAACAGAGCTGTACGTACAAAAGTCTTGACCTTGAGGTTGTCGTTGTTGGGATCATCCACGATGCAGCGGTTGAAGGCTTTGCGAGGCCCTTCTGCAGGACGGGTGAGTAAGCCGGCGGAGCTGTGGACAAGCCAGTTGACGCCCACAGCACCAACGGTATTATTGCGTGCCCACTCGTGTAGGAATCCCGAAAGTGTTTCGCCGCCGGTCATTTCTAAGAATTCATCCGCATCAAGGAACCCCATCCACGTGTGCCTGTCGCCAAACATAGTTACGCATCCGCTGTAGTATTGTTCTTGAATCCCTTTTCGGTCGTCTAGCTGATCTGAGTGGAGATGAGGTTGAAAGTAGACCCAGGTGATAGCGGAGGAGGGAATGGGATAGGTTACGCTAGAGAGTGGGGGTTCGGTGCCATCGTCAAAAATATAGAAGCGGCGAATGCCATGGTGGAAATAGTAGTGGGTGAAGAATTCGGGGAGATCTCTGGATTGGTTCTTCACTGCGACATGGTTTAGTACTCTGCTGGACTGGATTGACGTATGCAATAGAACTATAGGCACTGACCTGCCATACAGATTGCCATGTACTCTTCATTATCCGGGGGTGAAAGCGTAGGGAATGGCGCTGGTAAGGAAACGTTCGTTGAAGGACTTGTGACATTGTGTAGTTGGGCATCAACAGTTTGCTGCTCGCTGCCGGCCGAGGCTGTTGTAGAAAATGAAGCAGATTTCTCTGCTTCGTTAGACAGAGAACTATAAGTCTTGCGCAACTGCCCTTCGCTGCCAGCGTTGAACCATATTAAAGACAAGAGAGCGCAGACAATGACGAAGCCTACGAGACCTTTTGACAGATGAGACCTCGCTGGCCTATCCGAGTGACCATTTCTGTGGGCCATGATCAGTAGAATGATGATGAATTGTAGGACGAACAGATTGTAAAACCAGAAATTGAGAAGAACATTCTGCGACTGCATGTATGTACAGGAGATGTTAAAAATCGGGGACGGGGCCTTGTCCTGGGCGAGCAATACCTCATGCCGAAGTGATCAAACATGTTGGGTAGGAATGCTCTCAAATATGCTCTAAGGCTTGACAAACTTTCATCCCACACAAGCTTCCGCGTCACTTGCTTGGCTGAACCAAGGGTTGAGCTGGGAAAGAGTTGGTGCGCCAAGACCACGGATGATTGTTGCCGTTGGTCGCATGTTTGCAGATAGCCGATCGCCTCATCGATCAGGAAGCTCAAGGGACCTTTCTCGGAATTGTGTCAAGTGACTAGAACTAGTAACGCTTCTGAGATAGATGACGCGGCATGTCATTTGTGCAACGTGTGAGTATCCTGTTGTAACCTGAGAGACAGAGGTCTTCGCATGAATGCACAAGTCATGTCAAAATGGCAACGAATCTGAAAAACCTTTCATGCTCCAGAGTCTGAAGTTCAAGATGTAATGAACCAGGGAGCGCACGCCTAGAAAAGGCTAAAAGCGCACTTGAACCCAGACTTGAACTCCACACCCCCGTTTGTCTCATGCAGTACCTATTTCAAAAGAGCAAAAGGACTGTCAGCCAGTGCGGAGGGTAGGAAAAGAGACCTGTTAGGAGCAGTTTATCGCCATTCTTCGCTATTCGTTATACGCAATCATAGCATAAGCCTGTGTCACAAAGATTGGGGGGGGGGACGAAGGTCAGACGGACACTCTCCGGTCGCCGGAAAGATTCATGGTCACTCCTTCACCACTGCGCTGTTAGTAATGTAACGCACAAAAGCAAGACCCTTACTCTGTGAAAACATTGTGGGGCATTTCAAGGAGAGCCAAGGATCGAGGGCGGGACAGTGAATACATTTGAGGCCAAAACCAGAAATACATGCTTAAATCAGTAAGGATCGAAACATCAAACACGACGCAAGTTACATAGTAAAATGACGGAATCTGAGAACTGGATATTCTGGGCATCGGCAGAATATAGGACAGATACAAGGCGAAGACTGGAGGATTGCTAGCAAACACTGGATCCACGGCCAACGTTTAGACTGTGGCAAAGGTCACTTAGACACTCGAGGTCATATTGATCCACAAGGTGGCGTAGGTGGATTCGTGCACCTTGCTCTCCTTGAAGCGAGTTGTGGAAGCAATTTGAAGGGATCTTCTCTGTCGCTGTCGCCCGAGACGGTCGATGCTACAAGTAGCGTCGGTAGCTTTGTAGAAGACGGAAGGCTCATTAACTAAAGTATTATACCACTTCTAGGCTGTTGAAGCGCGTTTAATGCTAACAGCTCGGATAGTGGAAGCTGGCGTAACGGCGTGAGAGCGGTCTAAAGTAGAACATATCATTGGTGTGCTGTCGCTTGATTGAATTTGTGTATAGAGTAGTGTAAAGTATGCTATGCGGCTAATTTAGCGTCAATAGTGACGTATGGGAAGGAGCATCTTAACTTCCTATCAAATGAATCTTACGCCCTCCTCTGTCAGTAATCTCGGCCAAAAGAAAATTCATTGAGAATTTCATTCGCTGCCAGCCTCGTGACGGAGACAGCTCAGCAATTCCCCCCCACTTCCACGCCCAATCATAACCCCACCATTCGCCCAACCCGCAGCCTTGCAGGAGGCTTGTCCGAACTTCTCAGCGGAGACCCACCACTCCCCTACAACATAAATCTCACCCTGGCAGCCATGATCTCTTCAACCTCCAAAGCATTCTTGTCCATCATGGCGCGCCCCTGCCGCCTACGAGCTCCTTCGCACATGCGAATTTCTACCATAAAGCAGCAAGTGCGTTCTCCAGAGCCACTACTCAGAGTTCCAATCCACCGCCAATTCTCTCAAACGCTCTCCTTCGCTTTGCCCAGGAAGGACTCTCAGGATAAGGACAGCATCAACACGGAGGCGACGGAGTACAGTAAGAGCGCAACGGACGATGAGGGGGCTAGGCAGGAGGATGCAGCTTTCGATCCCGATATCACAGACCCTCAGGAACAGAAGGACAAAGCTGGGGAGGGCACAGGAAAGGGCACGGTGAGCATATCTAGTCCACATATGCGGGGTGGTCGTCTTTAGGCTCTTCGACAGCTTTGGAATACTCTGCACACACTACAATTCTCCGAGTTCGAGTGCTAACGCATCATCCCCGCAGGATACGAACAATCCTCTTGATGTCAGTCCCGCGAACCCAGAAGTCAGCAAGCAACGAGGAGAAACAGAGGGTGGAGCAGAGAACTCGAGCAGCAGCTCTGATACCAAGAGCGATAGGAAGAGGTCAAGTGGAGGCTCTAGTCCGAGCAAGGGGAGCAAGGTCGCTTGAAAAGTGAAGCAAGACAAACACCTAATTCTAAGCATGGGCGATGTTGTCATGTTGGTAACGAGTCTCCTGTTCGATTCGGCCTCTCAGGATACGACTCTGTTTGCATGCCCAATCTCAACACTATACTCCTGCCATGACCGTGATACGGAATACGACAGTACCCTGGCCTCTCATTTTCGGCAATAATCTGCACGTGGATACAGTCGGACATTGTCGGCAAGATGCATGATGGAGAGGCGATGGCTTAAATGAAATTGCACGCTTGGGCTTTGGCTTGGGCTTGGGCTTGGGCTATGCACTGAACGGCTAGGGGCCCTCGGGCATAAGGATGCATAAGCGTTTCACATACTTGCGGGGAACAGATTCATAGTAGCGGTGTGAGAACGTCAAACGCTTCATTGACTGGACGAGGCTGCAAGGTTTCAGAAGCTCAGACGATAAAAATAGATGCTTCTGCATTCGCGATTTCACACAGCCCACCTCCTCCCAATCTTAGCAATACAATCAAACAATTCTACCTTACACATATTTGTAGCCAAGTCCACTTTTCTCTTTCGAAAATGAATTCATCAGGACTTAGTTCAGTCCTCCGACATTCAGGACGTGAGAGGTGGATGTCATCAAGATGCCCGGCGTCCGTAAGCAGAGCACCCATGCCGCCAACACCCCGGCCAACAACCCAGCCAATAATCCCAGCATCCATTCTACAAATCACATGCTAAGCATTACTCCTCACTCACAGCACTAGATGCCTTAGCCCAAGTCAAACGAGGCCTCCGCAGCCTCTTCGGCCGCCGCAAAAAGAAGAAGCAGCCGACGCAGCCGGAGCCTCCACCTAGCTCCAATGCCCATATCCAGACCGCAACAGCGGTCGCCGCTTCGCCCGTAGAAGCTCCAGCGACGAGCAACAGGAGCGTCACGGAAGCCGAGGATGCTCTCGAAAACGGTACGACTTGAGTCCAAAGGGCCCCGTTGGCAGACAGACAGCCGCAGCTGACCTTATCCTATCCAGAAGAGCGCCTCCATCCACCACCGCATCCCGCAGCAGAACTTACACCCGCAACAGCGGTCTCCTTGATGCCTGATCCTCCACCCGCAACAACTACCGCCCCTCTGTCTTCCGGCCTCCCGGCTTCCCAGCATCACATCGCCGCACCCTCTCAGATCGAAGAAGCGAAAGAGATCGATCTGAACCCAGCCCGCGATATCAAGACCGGAGAAGGTGGTGGTGGTGGTGATATCACGACTGAATCACACGAAGGCAAGAATGACTCCAGCGATGCCAGGCCCAAGCTCAAGCCCGACAACGAGACAGGCATGAGCGCTACAAGTGGGCCGATGGGGGACCACATGGCGGAAGTGTGGAGGGATAGCGACGTAGGTTTGAAAGAGGGGAGGCCTGAAGGTCTAGAAGGCGAAGCAGGGGGGTTGGCAGAAGGGGCCGAAAGGGAAGCGGGGGGTGGGAAATTCTGACGGTGGGAAGGGGGTGAGCTGGCTTGATATCCGGCTGCTAAGGGTTGGTCGGGTGATGAAGAAATTGAAACGCCGTACGAAGTGCCCGGAGCCCCGTGTTCTTTCTTTCGCTGCATTGGTCTGATACCCCCGTCGTTGGACAACAAGAGGAGCTTTCGCAGGAGATAAAATTGGTCAATCAGACTGGTAGGCATCCAGTCAGGTCCGTCGATGGAGTTTGGTAGAAGGGTTTCGTATCTATCATCATCGCTGTGGGCTAGCCCCCTGTGATCTGTTCCGCATTCACAATCTCATCTCTTCCAAAGGAAGATTCAAACGCCAGTCCTATCACACATTGTTCTGTACTTCATGACGGGTCGTTTTAACAATCCTCCGCTGGCATCACCGGCCTTCTTCCCTTCCTCTATTCCCGGCTCATCTCCTTCCCATTACCCTTCATGTCCGCCTCCGCTCGCAACATCTCCAATATTCCAACTTGCTGCCCCAGCACCGCTCTTCCCGAAGCTTCATTCGCTCCTGCCCGGACTACCGCCTTACCCCTCCCTGGACCTGTGCCCTTGGAGGATGTCTCTCTAGTGTTAGACGACGTGGCGACGCCTTGGTGCGCAGTTGGAATCGCAACCGGAATCGGAGCTGGAGCTGGAACTCAAAGACGTCTGATGCCCGCGACTTGGTAACCTTCCTATGGGGGGTTACAGGCAGGGCGGCCACTGAGTTACAGGCGGAATCAAAGCATGCTTCGTAGAAGGTGTCGGAGGTGTCAGCAACGCGGGTGTGATGGACGCTGGTATCTTGGCTGGCTACGTGTGATTTGACGCCTGTGCATGAGCAGGTTGAGGGCTGGAGGGTTGGTAGGTCCAGAGTGGTCCTTGATTTTCGTAAGGAAATTGTCGTTGTTTCGGCAGAAGTTGACATAGTAGACCAGGAAAGGTCTATCTTCGTCGGTAAAGTGAATATGGATGAGCATCTTGTTGTGATGCATGGGATGAGAGGATAGGCGCGCCGAGAGAGGTTCTGTGGTTTCACGTTGGTGTAAAAAAGTACTGACCATAGAGCAGAGTCTGGAAGAGACAAACCAAGCAGAAGCAGAAAGGACACGAAATGCTCATCCCGGGACCCCTTTCTGTGACCACGATATTAATGCTCAGCGAGTCTTGGTCTCCCTTGCCGCTGGAACCGAAAAGACGCTTCTCCATGATTGGAGCGCGGTGTTTCTGCGTTAATTCAATCAGTTCTTTCCTACAAACGAAAGAAACAGCTGCTGCTTAAAGTCAGTTCTGAGTTTTTGATTGGTCTGTGCCGTCTTGATGAACAATCTACAGACGAGCAATCTCGCACCTAGCTGTGCGAGATTGCTTACCTTGTCACCTTTTCGCTTCAAGCAGTCATTCCTCAGCAGTGCTAACAATTTTCGGTCTTCATTATTATTATTCCTTCTTTCTACATTCCTATGAACTTGCTTCGCACGATCCGCTCGATTTAAAAAGTCCCATGTACTCAAAATGGAAGTGCTAACGACAACATGACAAGATGGGCGCATATCTGAAGATGAATCCTAGTTCGTGATGCTTGAGGACTCACCTCTACCATCCTAGGATCCCAGAAGTTGGCCGAATCTTCAACGCTCCTCCCGGGGGATTAGCAGTGTTAACGATGAGACACCGGCCTTCCCCACTGGTCTCTTCTCTCATCGACGTTTGAGTACCTATATTTCGGTCAGTTTCCACAGGTCAGAGTTTGGGGGGGGGCTCGAAACTTACGATCGATACCTCTCATGATGCGTTTGCTGGTCCCTAGCATACTCGTACTCGCCATAAGCATTCTGTGCATAGTCGTGATGGTCTTGTTGTTCCCGCACGCTATGGTAGCCGTGAGGATGCGCTCGCTGAAAGTTTTCTCGGCCCGTTGCATTGCTGTGTCTAGGTCAGTACTTCTTCAAGATTAACATAGTAGCGGCTTACTTGTAGCTTTTGTCCCTATATTCCTGCGCCCTAGGATCTAATCGTTCATGCTGATGCGGAGGCAAACCACCCGTATGCTGGTCGTAGTAGTTTCGCTGTTCTTCGTCCATGTTTTTGTACTCCCGTTTAGCGGTAGCAAGGTCTTTCTGGTATGCGCCGCGTGCAACGTCTCTTCCCTTTGTGCTGGCACTGTATTGGCTATGCAGTTTCTGTCTGTCGCTACCGCGAGGGAATTGATATGATCCATGGTTGTGCTGACCGTCGGGTCCCAATCCCTCCTCTCGGCCGTAGCGTTGAGCATGAGCTCTGTCGAAGTTCTCAGATGTACCTGCATACTTTGGAACCTCTCTGAGGAAAGATTCTTGGTCTCGATCGCGCGCCGGTTCTCGGTTTGTACGTCCTCGCCTACGGCCTTGTACTGAGTAGCCATCAGCGTCCATCTTGAGGGCAAGAAAAAGGAAGAGTCAATAGGTTCTGACTGTGCCTGCGTTCTGGAAAGTTGAGTATACTGAAATCGTAGTGCCAGGGATCGAAGAAGACGTTATATAGGGGAAAGAGACTCGCGAAAAGACAAAGGGTTTTCTTAGGAAGTCAAGTCACGATGAAATGCGAGTGTTGTTGCTCACCAACACTATCTGCGCAATGGATTGGATTTGGTCACAATGAAACACGAGTGTTGTTGTTCACTGGCACTATGTGCACAATGGAGTGTACTCTTTCAATGCTGAACAATGCTGAGCAATGATGTCTCTGGTCCAAGCCTGCTGTTGTACCATCTCCCCACCGTGCCCCCAAACAAAGACAATCCCACTATCCGCAGTCGCCGTTTGTACGAATGTGCGCTTCTACTGACCAGTAACCCGTACTGTATGGCTATCAACATTCTTGAAAAATGGTACACCTTAAAGGCCATTATTTCAATATCACCCCGCGGTATTCCGAGGCACTTTTCTACAGAAGCATCATTGGTTGTATGCTGAGGACGACGAACCGTAGGATGAAACTCCACTGTTTAGCAGCCGCTTAACAACTGCTGCGTGGCTAGCTCTGTCGACACTCTCTATTTTTTTCCGGTCTAGATCAGGGGTCACGTGAGGTGCCTTAGCGTGCCAGATCATATAGTCGCTCTTTCCTCTGTAGCTCCTACTTCGCGTTTTGACACTCCTCATCGTTTGTCTTTGTATGTCTTGGAGGCAAATAGGACTAGCTGCGGAAAAGTGGTGTTATGCACAAAGTGGAAGACACAAAGAGATCTGGAGTGCCCCAGCTCTGATCGTTCAGCGGTCTTTGTTCTTAAAGCCTCTTGCGACTCGTCACTGCCAGGATTTCTTGCTCTCTGATTTAACAATACCTCAATACCTCGTCCTGGGGCCCAAACCTCTTACTCTTACCCCAGCGCAGACTTGTAATCTCTCCATCTTAATCGGGAGACCTGGTTACAACATCCTCGACAACAACGGCTATATTCTCGTTCCCCCATCACGCGCTTGACACCTATACTTGAAAGGATCAGTCTCCTGCCATGGCGAAAAATTGTGCGCTAGAATGGCTCGCGCCAGAACTTCAACTACAAATCTTGTTCAACGCCGGTACTCCTGACGATCTTCACGCTCTCATTCAAGCATCACCTCGTCTTTACCAAGTCTATCTACACAACAAGGACACGGTTCTATCATCTGTGGCACTTCGACAGTTTCATCCGGCCGTGGCCTCAGACGCCTTATTCTTCGCGAAGATATCGCAGCTCGAGCAGCCTTTATCAAGAGACAAGGTCATTGAATTGTGCAAAACCTATCCAAATGAGCTGCCAGAAGCAACGTCCATTCCCATATCTATTTCAGTGGCACTGTGCAAGCTTGCTAGCAATGTCAGGTTCTTCATTGAGGACTATGCCCGAAACACTCTGCCCATAATGGAGGGGCTGGGTCGATCTCTAGACCTCGAAGTCTTGCCGGAATACTGGCCAGAAAACCCTGTCTCATACTCCCAACTTTCAAGCTCCGAGACTGGGAGGCTTCAGAGAGCGTTTTGTCGCTTCGAAACTTATAGATACCTTTTCGCACGGTGTTCCTCAGAACTTGACCATGATCTTCGAGAATGTCCTTCCCGTCCTTCTCTGACTCCAGCAGAGCAGGCGAGCCTGTTTCTTCAGAGGTTCCCAGACTTTCAGGTTACTGAGATCAACTGCATTCGAGACTATCTGTATCGTCGACTGCGAGGTATTTGCAGTCGACTTGAGGACATAGCGGTTGATACTCTTCCACCTGAGACTTTCCACTTTGGCCAAGATGGTGATGTCGAGGCCGCTGAGTGGGCATCCGGAGTGTACCTTTACACTAATAACGGGAAAGCTTACCAGAATGATCACCTGGAACATCTGATGTCACTCGGACTAGCTTACATCCGCCGAATCTTTGAATCGACTGGTAAGGAGCAGAACGATTTGTTTCTTCGCGATATTCATCGCGATGTCATCCGACACTTGGAAACACAGTTTATCACGAGGGCTCTCGAATTTCTAGGGCCTAATCCTGCCCGGGGAGATATACCTTTGTTGGCGAAGACAGATCCACCTTTCGTGTACGAAATCAACCCGGATGTGGAGCTGGATACTCCTGACGCTTGGCAATGGGCTCATCCTCGTGCGCCACCGTTCAAGCTCCAAGAGAGCACTCTGAAGGGTCTAGGAGATTGGGGCTATGTTTTCTGGGATTATGATAGACTTCATGTGTCTGGTATCCTCACGAGAAGGTAAAGTATTTTTCTATACTGCTGGTTGAATCAAACTGCTAACTTCCATCTAGTCGAGATGATGTCCGGAAGATTGAATTCGACGAGTTCCAAGCGGCAGACGGCCCGAGTGTCCAGCAGCGCTTACTTGGAGCACCTGATCCTTATTCTTCTGCTGAAGAGGACAGCGAATTCTTGTAAAGGAGCTTAGACGTTAGGCATGTTGGTGAAGAAGTTCAGACCAGCGAGATGTGAGATGTTAGGAAATGAGTATGCGAACTTTCCAGCATAGTTCATTGCGCAATAGGTGAACAATAGTACGATATTACATAGTGGCATTGCGAAATACAAGCGTTCGTCCGCACTTAGGCCATTCTACAGCCGTTTAAGGAGATGAAAGCGTGGCGGCGTCGCAGCGGTAGTTCCCAAAAGTCCCGGCGTAGCAGTATCTCTACTAGAGACATTTAACAACTTATTTTTCATGAACTACATCGCGAACGATCCATCAATAGAAGGTTTCATCTACCTGCCGTTCAAGAACCGATGCAATATCTTCCGAGACCACATAGAAAAATCTCCCATCCAATCGCACCGGTGCCATCTGAAAAGTCTGATCTGAAAGCCCCTTCCCCATGAATGTCGAGCTGATGAGCAGTGATGATTGGTGGCCGTTATAGGTATGGAGTGTCGCGAGTGCAAGTAATTGTCTCTCGAGAGGTGGCACGGTAGAGATTCTCGGCTCGCATATGATCGCATTGCGAAGCAGCAGTACCTTGATTGTATCAGGGGGAAAGGCAAGAGCGGGCATGCAATTGGTGTAGTTGCCTGGCTGATCATGGCTGATGTAAGGGTAGATAGTAGGACACTTTGGGTGAAATGAAGTGAATTGAAGCGGCAAATGTCAATATGTTACGAGGGTATATATGCTTCTCAGGAACCTCAAGTGGCTCAAGCAGCACCCGCATAAAGTCTACCCGAGATCAACTTCCCCGAATCAAACGTCTCGGCACTTCCCAAGGCGATATGACCCACTCCACCTTCCGCGGAAACATCCTGCACCTTGACTTCCACATCCTTCAGGAGCCTCGCCCTCTCCAAGCCGTCCAAAGTACAGCCTCCGGGCGGGAGGTCAATGTACGGATTGTCTCTCGTCATCGTGCTCACATACCCTAGGATTTTAGGACCACGGGCCATGTGTTTGGCAACTGCACCGCCTATCCCGCATAGCAGGAGTACAGTCGAAGCGATGAGCAAGATGGCCGCCCATATCTTGTTGCAAACATATATGTCTGTAAAGGTCGTCACCGTAGTCGTAGTTGTGTTGAAGATTCCCATATAATTGATGTCAAAGGAATCATGATTGAGAGCAGAAGCGTTGCTCGGGAAATTTCCTGTCTGATACCATGGTACAAGGCTACATTGCCAATAAGTATTGAAGACGAGGGAAAACCGTTCGCTGAACAGGTCGGCAGACAATCCTTTGAGACTAACGCCGCCGCTTGCTATCGACGTGGACAGCGAATTCATTGTGGGGTCCGAGATGAAATATTCTGTAGGTGTTGAACTACCAGGGTGCTCACCACTGCCGCCCGACATGGGCCAGTATGTCTCCAAACCAGCAGCCCCAATTCCGTAAACCAGCGGCGTGTAGCCGGGCGGACGCTGATCAAATATTGATCGGCGAATCTGTGTGACGCTGCAAGAGCCATCATCGCATGTTATGTTTGATTCAACGCTCGAACGCGTCAAAGTGCAATTGGTGATGAATGAGTCATCAGACTCAATGTTAGAAACAGCGCTGAAATTCACACCCCATGGTTTGACCGAGGGATAAGATGTCTGATTGGGGTAGAGCAGCAGGTTTCCCGGATCATCAGTGACAAAATTGAGAGAGAAGCCTCCACGTGATGTCCCATTTACTAGCGTGGAGTCTGAAACGGTTGGGCAATCCAACGCCATGTAGAGACACTCCACATAGAAATGGTACGATCCGCTCTTCCTGATGCCGTCGATAGGCAGACCAACCAACGAGGAATATGATGCGTTCTCGGGGAAGACGCGATACCACCCGTCGGCGTCGCTCTTACTTGTGGATTCCAGTTTCTCGATTGTTGGGATTTTCACGTTCGACCAGGTATCCACAGCCGAAGCTTGGGTAGCTGGTGGGGTGAAAAGAGCTGATAAGTAGAGAGCATTGGTGGAAAAACCGAGTGACGAGATGACATCCGCGCCTTGAGCGAGGATAGACACCGATTCGGGGCTGAGATATGAAACATTTTGAGTGGACGAGGTTGGCTGTTTCCCCAGTCCAAGTAGTCGGAGGGAAGCCTGGCCTCCCAGCGGTGATAAGGCCCACAGCGCGATGAGACCGATTCCAAGTAAATCGAAGGTGCGAAGCAAGAATTGCAATTCAGTACCAAAGATAGTCAGACTACCCATCAACTGCTCCAGTGTCTGGGGCGGCGGCATATTAGCGAAGGATGTACGTTGAAAACTCATTGAAGTAACTTACACCCAACTTTGCTCCTCGCTCAGCTTGAAACAATGCGAGCGACCTCAACGATCTTCCAACAATGGCAGCGAAGAGAATTGGAAATAACGTAGGGCCCTATTAGAGGTCAGGCCAAGATATATGTTGTTGACAGGCTCCAACACACTAAAGTTGTAGCAGCCTTGACTCTGTCTCCATCAGTTGATATCGGCGAGCCCGACATGTGTATCGCCACTAGGCTCACGGCTGTTTTTGTAAGTCAGCGAAGACGGCTATTGTTGGACTCATGGTACGAGTGCTGTGCGCTGTTTGAGACTTGCCTATAAACAAAAGCGGGATCAGGGCAATGAGTGTATCAATTGCCAGCGATCCTACTTTTTTCCAGCCCGTCTTCCTCAGGGCCTTGGAGGTTTGAGGCCAGCCTTTGACCACTAGCGTCCTGTTTTGCGATTGCCCTTCAGCACTGTCTAGGCCATTCTTGACTGAAGATGATTTGAATGAGCCGACTTCTGACTCGATTGGCAGCAATTCAAGGCGAGAGGCATCATCTTTCAATGGGATGAAATGGGTATGACTTCGAAAACGCTCCATATCCGGCACGTTATAAAAGGGCTATGCGGTATGGTCGACGCTAAGAAGTTATACAGCTGACATCCGGCTTGGGCAGGGGACGTGAGAAGAACGAAGAATAAGAAGACCCATGTTTGGGACGCAAGGCAAAGAATTGATAAAAGCGATGATGGTGGACATCAATGCCGATTGCACTAATCAGCGATGCATGCCACTTGGAGCTTACTCAGAGTGGGTGTGGGTGTCTCACGCAGAGGGGGGGGGACCCTCTAATCTTTTAAGCTAGAGTGGGACAGTCCCTTTCGGCCATGTCCGGTTGAGAACAGTGGTAATCTAGAGTCTGACTCAAAGAGCGCTGCAGATTTGTTTCAAGATAGCGCGATCTCAGCTTGCGGATGCGACGAGCTGTTGAGTTCCCTTAAGCGCGCATCGGGTCCTATCCCCATGGATGGTGCGGTGTGGTGTACCCCTGGTGGTGTCTGAGCTGAACTTCGGGATTTGGGACGTTGCAGGGGAAAGGTACACTATTGCAAATGGCAAGATAATCCAAATCTCAAATCACACACCCGAAATAGCGTCAACATCATGACACTAAGATCAGCCCGTGGGTATGTAGGTCGTCCTAACGCCGTCTGCCCGAGGTTCCGTGTTTCCTGAATCAGACTCTAGCTGTGTGGTTTGTGGCGATATGCTGTGTGCTTCACCCGCTCATTGGTGTGAAGACTGTGACTTGCCCAGAGTAGATAAGCTGTATGCACCTCGCCGTCGGAACACGGCAAATCAGCCTGTAAAGAGACGCCAATCTCGCCAATCGGCCATACTTCTGCATCTACTTTGGTCTGGCTCATGTTGTCTCGTAGACTCGTGCGTCCCAATTCTTCAGGAGCGATTGATGGTGTAATGAACGCACGAAGCACAGGGAACTCGATGATAACAATAGCACAGAATGCTTCCGTCATCGGTCGGGTTGTGTCATCGATCGGGTTTATTGACTATCAGGGCAAACGGAAGATGCCAACCATTTGATTGCAGCGACCTGTCGTACTTGCCTGGACTGTCAATGTCCTCTCCCTATCGTGCTCCCGGCTATGGGGTCGGGCCGCACATCAGAGCATCCAAGGTGGGTGGAGTACATTTCATTATGGTTGGGCAATTCATGGCGAGTTGACTTATCGATAATATACAGACTGATAACCTGAATCAATATCATAGCCTATCGAGTTGGGTAAAGTTTTCATGTAAATGGTCTGGACCCGTCTAATTTAGTGTGCAATATCTTGTAGGGCTGACGAAGAACAAACTTCTGGTTCTATGGACCACCAGTCCGCACACCCATTGCCTATGCAACAACTACATTACAATGGAACCAAGCGACAACGATATCGAGCTGTCAGAGGTCTCTAATACCTTTGCGACTCCATTCAGCGTCGTCGCAAGGTCCGCAAAGCACACACGAAATGCAGCAACTCGAAGGCCAGCGGTCCCACCAAAACCCTCTCAGAACCGACCTGCTCCCCAGGTCCAAACCATAACAACTTCAGACATTCATTCGTCGCTCGTTACAATACCTACCAGTGTTACAAAGAGATCTGTTAGCGCTGGTGTGATGGATGAAGAGAGAAAATCGTCAGAAGACTCCTCTTCGGGTGTCTCCTTGCTGCAAACACCGAATGCGGGGATCGGCTTCTCCCAAACGTCAGGAAAATCCCTAAAGAGACCAAGGGCTAAGACCTCTCATATCCATGAGTACATTACCACACGAGAAGGCAACTTCGTTTGTAATCGTTGCTCAAGGGTCTACAAATCCACTGGCGGCACAGGGGCTATCGCCCGGCATTTGAAGAAAGCACACTCCATTGATCCTACGGCTAGCGCGTTAGCTGAAAAGAGAAAACGAGAGGGAACAGCGATAGATGCAGCTATAATTCGTGGAGCAGAATTCAATACCAGGGCCGAAGAAAGAAGAAAAGAGGAACCGAAGGAAATGAGGGAGCTGAGAGAAGAAAGAGAGGAACAGACGGGCACTACTCTCAATAAAACTACCCTGGAATATCTATATCTTCAATGGATCATGAGCCAGGGTATTTCTTTCAAGCAAGTCAGGAACAAGGCATTTCGGACCTTCTTGGAATACGTCAATCCAATTGCCAATCGAATGCTTCCGGACTCCGAGTCCACCTTGAAAATACCTACAGATGGTCTTCTCGCCGAGGAAATTAGTGGAAGCTGAAAAGGCTGCTGGCTGGCTGAAGCTCGAAGCCGAAGCAGACACGATTTGAACAACGTTGGGCACCAGAAGGGCCGCGTGCTTGGCGCCGGAACCAGCTGCTGCTGATCTACAAGGATTGAGATTCGAAGCAGTCATTGGCTCTCCAGATTGTCGTTTGTCATGGCTGGCAGCTTGGTAATGGTGTTGGTAACAGCATTGTTGTCTCTGTTATTGCTGTTAGTAGGCTGTGCCAAGACAACAAACGAGGTGCTGAGGATGAAATCTATCAATTGGTCATCAGCTCATCCTCTCAGCATGGCAGCAATGATAATCTGAGTGTTTCTTAGACATCAAGATACACTCCGTTCTTTCCAGTGTTGTTGCGCTTGATCTCCGCTTTCTCCGTTATATACCCGACATGCCCGGAATCCGGCTTTGCCACTCTGGAGTCGACTGCGCTTCTTTTGCCGTCCCGCTTTGGCGGACCTTCCCACCAGATTGATGGCATAGCCCGACAATCCAGCTTCTCTTGCAAAGCGGGGTGGGCGTTTCGGATACGGGTTACTCGGTTCTTGACGTCGTTGTCTTCCCGACGGGAAAGGTGCTTGTTGAAGCCTTTAATCCGCTCATCGTCCTTAGCCATGCGCAGGCAATAGGCCGCTAGCCACCCACGCGCCTCATCAGGCCTTTTTGGGTTACTGAGGACAGGTACTGAAGACTTGTGTGGGTGGAAGTTCGTTTGACTCGAGAGCTTGATACCAGCTGTAGCCATGACCGGCGCCGCTACGCTGATTAGTGGTGATAAGAAGTTGTTCGATTCTCTACGAACGAAACTGCCGGCGCCTACAACGGCGAGGGGGGGGGGGGCACCAGGGGGAAAATTCTCACAAGCGAAATGCTCACTGAGTCTTTTCAACAAGTCGTGGTGATCGCGACAGAAGCTGACATGGTAGATCAGGACGGACTTTTCTTCATCATTGAAAAGAACACGTATGTTTCCTGATTTGGTCTACAATTCCGTGCGCTTCGTGGAGATAAGAAGAATACTACAGCCCTACCGAAGCATATACAACATGAGCAACAAAGGATCGGCTAGCTACAACAGCAAAAATGGCTGCCCAGGGGTTCAAACCTTTGGATGTATTAGCACTTGTTATCACCTTGACTGAAAACGACGAGACAGGGAATAGGAATGATACACAATACAAATGTTCTTTGCGGTCGTGATTCAATCGATAGACAACTTCGCCAGCCCTCTGTCCAAACGCAGACAGTCGCTTCGGTGAATCAACTCCCATGACTTTGCTCCGCCTCATCCTTATTACCGTCGCTCGTTCGGCCATCTCCCTGGGCCTCTACCCTTTGAACTCTTAGCTCGCTTCGCTTGGTTTAAGAGTTGCTGAAGGGCTCTACTTTCCCCGGTTGCTGTTGCTCTCGTTCCCGCCGCTTCTGCTTCTGCTCCTTCCTGTCTCTTGCCTCCTGCTCCTTCTCCAAATTCTTCATGAGCGCATAGCCCGGTTCTCCCTCCTCTGGCGGCTTTTCATACCATGGGAACTGTTCCGCTAGATCCTGCAGCTGCGCCTGAACGTCGCCTTTAGCATCACGTACGCGGCTTGCGTGAATGAAGATGTTTTTGTGCTCGCGTTCTGGGAACTGTCTGTTGAAAGCTTTCGCGAGAGGGGTTCCCCAACCTAGGCGTTTCTGATAGATGAGGAGCCAGGCGTGTTGTTCTGCGGGGCACTGGGGAGTGCTGAGATCTTGTGGTGAAGCCATTGGTGAGGGAGGGCTTGGCAATTGGCAAGCGCATGGTGGAAGCGGGCTTGATATGTCAGGTTGGGGGTAGATGTTAGAACCAGCTGGAACATTGGAGAGGTAGGCATGAAAGTTGAGGTTGAAGCGGCACAGAATCAAGTCTCTTACATTCCATCGGCATCTTCTCGGTTCTTGAATCGATGTCATGTTCTTGTTACTCCCCTAGATGATGAAGGAACGCGGCATTTTGATGTTCTTGAACCTATAGCATCATTTTTATCCACTCGTCCGTGGTTGATCTCCTGAGCGTACGACTTTGAACATTGGTCGTCGGGTGTTGCAGCAGTGGGTATGTTTGAAGATGGATAGCACGTATGAATCGATACTTTTAGCCTTCATCGAGGCGGAAGCAGTAAGACTCTTGGATACAATCAAGCAGATGTGTGCGTCTGTAGCCATGAACATGATTTTGCGGCTGGTCCCACCAATATCCTCTTGACTTCCTCTATCTTGAAGCCAGAGGGCAACACAAGTCCATGTTGTGAGGTGAAAGAAGTATGATCACTGCAGGGTACCAAACCAGGAGGTTTTGAAATCTCGTAAGCTTGAACATTCCCGACGCACACTCACAAACATAGACAGACAAAGACGCCGCTCACACTTCTTCTCCACCAGCCCTCACTAGCGGCCCGCTAACCTTTAGCGTCCGCAAGAATCTTTCTACATATGAGCAAGGTACCTCACTTTCTTTTGACATCCCTCATTGCCTCCAGCTTGAACTACTACAATTACCTATGGCAACCGACGGTGCAACTATGACCTTCTTCGCATTCCCTCGCGAGATACGGGATCTCATCTACACATTCCTCACCCCAAAAGACAAGACCTACACCATCACCTCCGCAAACACCGTCGCACTTGCAAAAGCCTTTTCCACTCTCGCGCCCGACCTCGGCATCATCAACACCTCCAAGACCGTGCAATACGAGATGCTAGAGACTCTCTGCCCCAACAACACGTTCAGATTCTCGTTTCCGGGTTCGGACACTAAAACCCAATCTATGGACCTTGAGCTAGCAGAGCTCATGACACATATCGAAATCTATATCGACCTTGAACACTTCCACTGGGAAAGATTCCGAGTAGGACGGCACGATCACGAGATCCACGGCATTAGCGGACAGGTCTGCGAAGTTCTCCGCGTTTGGAACGGTCTTTCCGTTAGACGTGAAACCTGCAGAATCACCATCAAAGACGGCATTTCATTCATCTCTCCGCTCCTTCGACTGCCGTTTTTGGACGCGGTCAAAACTCTGGTCGGACTTGATACTCTACTGATCATAGTGCTGAAATTCAAATGGGATCTGAGGAAGCTGGGGGCTGTCTTGGGGCCAAGTCTTGGACCTAGCACTGTCCACTATAGGTGGCCTTTACTCGAATATGTCGACAGGGATTACGGTTGCATCAAATTTCACCCGAGAAGGTCCCTGGCTGAACGGCTTGAACAGGCTGCCGGTGAAAATATGGCGCACTGATCAGCGATGGTGGCTAGCAATTGCGGGGCCGCTCAACTGGCAGTTCTAGAGAAGGCAGACTTACGTTACAAGACTGGGTATTGGTAAAAGAATAGTTGTCCCATTCATGCCAAACACGCATCACATGGACAAACAGAGCACACATAAGCTGTAAATCCAGTGGTTAGGCCGTCTTACGCTGGGAATAGCAAGTCTGGATAGTCTAAAATAGAGGGCTGAATAGGCATATTCTTGAACCTCAGTGTAAGAAAATTCCCATGCTTATGGTATAGATCTGAAGTGAAATGACTGTGTGAGTGGGGGTGAGTGGGATAAGGAGTATGTAATGGCTCTGAAGGAGATTGAATCGAATGAAAAGCCACTTGCAGATACAGAATAGGTATCTACATAGCTGGTAGTAGACATATGTCTCCTACTCATTGACAGGGGTACTGACAAGGGCATGGAATAGGGGCATAACATGCGACCCACTAATGCCCAGTTACACTGTGGCCGATGGCTACAATCATGTGCGCACCGGCCAAACCCCCATACGCGCCACTAATACTGAAGAAAGCCCCCATCCAACCCCAATCAAAATTACACTTGTCTGGTTCCGTTCCATAACCGAACTCAATAGGGCGCGGCTTCCAGCGTCTGGAGACACCCAGGTAAACCTTGTCATCAACGGGGCAGTCGTAGACCAAGAATTGTACCACGGCCATCATGTCTTCGAGCTGAGTCACCTCCATCGAACCCAATCGGGCCCTCATGGCTTCTCCTAAGTATAAAGTTGCGAACATCCAGACGCGATAGAAAGCGGAGATGAACTCCTCGCGTGGCGGCATCCGAGCATCATCGGGCGACACGATGCGGTTTGAAGATGCGCCCCGCGTGGACAATGTGCCGGCATGGTCGGCTTTCTTCGCGTTGGAGATGAGCGCCTTGTTCCGGACCAGGATCGCACGGTAATCGCCGTTGCTGTAGGCGGCACCTCGATAGCCTCTCTTTTGGTCTCTCAAGACCGCGTCTCGGGCCTCTTGTTGGATTTCCAGAACGCGACCGGTGGCTGGACTTCTTATGCTAAGGTCGACGCCGCGGATCCTGTCTTGGATATCTAGCAGCTCCATGGCGGTGGAGATACCGGAGATTCTGTCATAGATGACTGCGCTGGAAATGGAGGCTGCGTTGAGTTGCCAGATCAGGTAGTGTTTGCGGCAGGTGCTGTTGAGTGCGGTGATCGAGGAGGGTTTGTCGAGGTGCTTGTAGATCGACGTGATGAGCTCGGGAGGCAGGTCTGCGATTGTTGTTGGATTCCTGGGCAGGGGAACCGCAGTCTGTGGGCTGGACATTGCGGCTCACTTTTGCGATTGAACTCTTGGTGGTGTGTATGAGATGTGTAGAGCTGTCTGGCAGTGCCTTTTGTGGGTGAATGGAAAATAACTGGGTCTCTTTGTAACTATTTGTGATTGAGGGAAGGAGATGACTTGTGCGGTTTGGAAGCATCGACAATATATACGTACTCTGGGGTTAACAAAGGTCTGCAAAGCAATGCCTTAGTTGAAGGGACAAGCAACTCTCATGCTTTGAAATGGTTCAATGGAAAGTGGCCGTATTGAGCAGTCCTTTGTTTCGAGATGGGCGAACTCTAGGGACTGTTGCCATGCGGGCTAGCTCCTTTCAGCAAAACAAAGATCTTGAAAGAAGGAACAGAATTCATGCTGAGGGTACGAGGAATAATTCCGGAAAACAATGCAGCAACCTCACTCTTGGCAACAGGGCTAGTAGCACTCATACCATCCTTCATGCTCGACGATGAGAAGCCTTCGCATAAGTGCGAGCAGGTGCGAAGATAGCGGTAACAGAGACACTGCCTCCAACCACCCCTCAGTACACGAACGATCGACAATCCCTTCGCATACTTCAGCGGTTCAAGCATGTGCAAAGACCAGCAAGCCCAGCTATGTGTAACAGACAACAGACTAGACCGACAAGTCCGACCAAGATTTCTAGCTTTACTCGAAGTCCAAGTTACAGTGGAACAAGGCTGGAATGAGAATTGCCACAAATAAGGGAGAGCTTCGCATAGCTACCTCCGCACGCCGACTCATCCTTGGAGGATCATTTCACAAGGCTGTAAGGCTACCAACGTTTGTTAAACAAAACAGTAAGCTTGCGCCCGATACCTGCATTGCATATGTTTTCTGGTGCGTCTCAGGGAATCTCGTTTTCCGTCGGTGAGCTAATTGACGATACGCTTTCGTGCGTTTCAGGATTCGAGCAGCTCTAGAGTATGGGATCAGCGCCAAGTCTTTTCATCCGTCTTACTGCATCTCGCCTGATTATACCCTACCCCTTACCGTATCGGATTTGGGCACGTCATTGTGCGCATTTTACCCCCAGTGTTGGCGTCTGGCATACCGTTGGGGCCTGAGGGGCATTGAATCACTCAAAACACCAGGTCACGGCCCGGGCTGCCTCTCTTTTAGTGCTCGCAAACAGTGAGGCCATACACAAAACAACGCATGCACAAGTAGATATATAGATAGATGATTGGGCATATCCAACACTGGGGCAGCTAAGACCTTTTTGGATATGCAAATAATCCAAAAAAGGCCCCCCAGCGCTAGAAAACTCTTATGTCTAAGCGATATACCCTGGAGTGAAATAAGGCTATATACAGGTATAGGTGGGTGAGAGAAAAATGATATAGCTCTAAAAGAGACGAAATCGAATAAAGAGCCGTTAATAGATATAAAATAGGTGGCTATATAGCTCGTACTAAATATCTATCCTTAACCTCTTATCGAGGTATTAATAGAGGTACTAATAAGGATATTAATAGAATAACTAATTAAATAGCTATTAACGCTATAGTCTTATAATAAACTTACTAATTTATAGTTTTACTATTATAATTAGTGCTTATAAATAGTAAGACTATATATAAAATAATATATATATAAATAGATATATAGATAGATAATTAGATATATTTAATATTGGGGTAGCTAAGACTTTTTTAAATATATAAATAGTTTAAAAAAAACTTTTTAGCGCTAAAAAAACTCTTAAATAATTTAAGACGTTATTTAAAAAGAGTAAAGATCTCGAGAAGAATTTTTAATAATATTTATTATAATAAGTAATAGAGATTAATAGTACTAGCGCGAATAAGCTAAAAGATATTAATATTATAGTAATACTCTAAGTATATAAGCTAGATAAGTAATTATATATAAATAATAGAAATCTAACTTTTAACGATCTAGTAATTAGATCTTATTATTACTAAGACCGACGTTATATACTAATATTATAGCCTCTCTACAAAAAAAATAATCTAAATAATAACTCTTAATATTAAGTAATATTAATATCTCGCGAAGATTATTAATAATAATCTCTCTAGTAAAAAAAAAGTTCTTTAATTAAAATAGCGATATATTAAATAAAGTCTTCTATTTAAAAAGATAATATAAGACTTTAACTACGTATATATTATTATTTAATATAATTATTATAAGTATAATTTTATAATAAAATAGGTTTATTTTAAACGCTAAAAGTATAAGTTTTAGATAATTATTAAATAATCTTATCGAGTGATATATAAGAAACTATTCGCCGAAGTCCTTCTATTAAAGATCTCGCTTATTATAAATAAATTTACTTACGCGTAGAAATATCGCGAAGATAAGATAAAAGAAGATATATAGCGTTATCTTAATATAGATTAATTTATCGAAATAAAAAAGAATTTAAAATAATAGATTCTTAATAATTAAACGTCTTTCTTTTATATTAGTTTCGTTATAAAAATATTAATTATCTATAATAATACGTTATAATTAAAAATAATAAAATACTAAGAGATTATTAAACTCTATATTTATATAAGCTAATCTAAAATCGATAAGATATATCTTTATAAACTTCGACTTAATGCGATAAGTATTTAAATTAATAATTTAATTTATAAAAGTATTTATAATTATTAAAAAGAGAGATTAAATCTCTATAAGTGCGTAATAGATTATATAAAATCTTATTAAAATTATATATATCTTTCTAATTTTAATAATAAGTTCTTATTAGAGAAGTTATATAATCTCTCGAGATAGTATAATCTAATTATATTAATATTCTAATAGATCTTATCTTATTTTAGCGAAGATATAAGACCTCTTAACTATAAATATATATTAGCAATTTTTCGATATTAAAAATATAATAGATTATCGACTAGCTAATTAGCCTTTATAGATATCTAAATAAATATTATTATAATATTATAAGTAGTTATTAATATAGCTATATCGCGTAATAAAACTATAGCTAATTTATATATAGAGAATTTATATAATTTATTAATATATATATTATTATCGTAGTAGAGAATTAAGTAAGATTCTCGTAATTAATATAATTATAGCTTTATCGCGTAATAAATAATCTTTATTTCTTTAAATTATATATCTTTAAAATAATAATATATAATTATTTTAATATTAAAAATATCTTTAAATTAAATTAATTAAATATAATTAAAATAATTAAGAATATAGTCTCTTATATCGAATTTTCTAGATATATTAATTTATATATATTATATAACTCGACTATCGACGTAACGTATTAAGACGACGCTATTTTAATACTTTAAAAAGATATCTTATTATAATAAATCTACTCTTATATTATCTATAATTTATATAATTATTATAAATCTTTAAAGAATATTAAAAAGTCGTCTTAAGAATACTCTTTCTAGAATTATAACTTTAATAGCGAAAGAGAGAAAGCTAACCGCTAACTCGAGCTTCTAATATAAAATAGTTATTTTTTTTAAAAGATTTTTAATTATAATTCTCGCTTTAACTAGCTTATTTAAAGAAAATCTCATCTATATATAAATACTATCGAATTTAATTTCTAGAAACTTAATTATAAAATCTATAATATTCTTTATATAATTAATTTAAAAATTTAATTCGCTATATAGCTAGTCGAATTATTAAATATATATAATTATATTATTATCTAATAAAAGAATTATAAAGAAATTATCTAAATAATAAAGTATTATTTTTTATAGAAGAATCGCGATTAAGATCTAAATAAAGGCCTTTATAAAGAGATTAAATAGAAATAATAATATATATAATCTAAATAATAGATATTATTCTTTTTAATAGCGTTTATTATAATTAAAACTAAGTAGTTATTAATTCGATATAGCAATAAGTATATATCTAAAGACGTCTTTAAGATCTCTTTTAACGAATTAGGCTCTTAAGTCTTTCTATAGTAATACTATTACTATATTATTATATATAATATATTTTAATATATTCTACTTCGCCTAGATATTATTATTAACTAAGTAATTATATAAAAATAAGAGGTTATAAATTTATCTTTAATCTTTATTATATTTTAATATTAAATCGAGTAGCGAATAGATATAGTGGGGCTTATTCTAAGAGTTAACCTCAATTAGGCGATACTATTAAAGCTATTTTTAAAGATTTATCGATAATATTTAAAGTGCTTAACGTATTAATAGATAATTTTAGCTATAATAAACTAAGATAGAGCCTCGAAAATCTATCTTAGCGCCTTTCCGAAAAATAGTCAAAATAATTTTAATAAATATTAGATTCGAGTAATCGTTTAATTATTTAAATTAATTATTAACTATTAACGATTTTTAATAGAATAAATTCGGGTCTAATAGGTTATATAGCGCGTATAAAAATCTTTTAGATATATATTATAGCGATTAAAATATTTATAAATACTCTAAAAGTTATTTTATTTTAGTAATATAATTATCTAATAATAAATAATTAAAATTACTTATAGTTAAATTTAGACTTTAAAATATTTATCTATTAAATAATTTTATTAATAGATTATATAGATATATAAATAGATATAACGCTCGCGAAAATAGCTATCTCTATTAAAATTCTTATAAATTCTAGTTTTTTTGATAATAATCTTACTAAGATTAGGCGTATCGAGATTTAGCTTATTATTATCTATATAAAATTTTTTAAATATAAAAAAATCTTTATAGCTCTAATTATTCGCTTTCTAGATCTTAAAATTATTTTAATTATTTTAAATATATATAATAATAAAGACGAGGTAATAAGTGAGGATAAAGTTAAATCTATAGATAATAAGTAGCTATAGTAGATAAATAGCATACGTATATAGAGTCTTATTTAAGTCTTTCTTTATACTAATATATATAAAGCGATTAGCGACTATCGAGTATATATAAAAGTAATATATTATATAATTATAGCTATTAATATTCTTATTCTTTTTAATTAAGATAGTATATATATAGACTAATTTAACGAAATTTTTAATCTTAAAAATCTTAAAGAAGATTTATTTAAAGTACTTAATATTTATACTTTAAAATCTTTTAGCAATATTAAGAAAGGGCTTTTTATCTTTTATATAACGAAAGAAGACCTCTCTTCTTTTCTCTTAATTCGATTTAGAGTTAAATAAATTTAAATTTAATATATTTAAATAACGATAATAATAATTACGGCTATAGCGATAATAGTAATAATATAATTTATAAACTCTACTCTTATAAGAATAGCGATTATTTCGCTTCTCTTAAATCTTAGATAGTTAGATTATTAATTCTTAAAGATCTACTTTAATAATAAATAAGAGTATTTTATTTATCTAATTCGAGCTTATAATACTCAATAATATATTATATATAAGAATATTCTCGCGAGGGGAAGATATTTTGGCCTTAATAACCTTAGAAGCCTTTTTAGTCTTAAGAATCTTATTAATCTTATTAACTACGTTAAAGATCTTTTTAATAATCTTAAAGACGGAGGTAATATATTTAACTGCTTTTTTAAATCTAATAGCAGCGGCGAAGGCTATTACGAAATATATAAGAGTATAAAATATATTTATAATAGTTAAATAGTACTTATAATAGTTAAAGATTAATTTATATAAATTTAACTATAAAAAGAAGAAGAAAAATAATATAGCTCTAAAAGAGATGAAATTAAATAAAGAGCCGTTGATAGATACAAAACAGGTGGCTATATAGCTCGTACTAGACACCTATCCCTAACCCCTTGCCGGGGTACTAATAGGGGTATTAATAAGGGCACCAACAGAACGGCTAATCAAACAGCCACCAACGCTATGGCCTCATAATGGACCCACTAACCCACAGTCCCACTGTTGCGAGTGGATTGGTACCCTATTGGATGAAGTCCATGCAAAGACCTTTTGCTATAGTCTCTTTCTTTCTGTCTGGTTCACTGGAGAGCATTCCGTCGTGCCCGAGCGGATCACTTTACCGTGTTGGATTTGACTCCTGGTAGTACTGGAACATACAATAGTGATTGGCTTCTGTCTCTTTCCGAGAGATGCGTTTCATCTAGGCTTCTGCGAAATGGGAAATACCTTCTTTACGACACTGACTCGCCGATAATCCGAAGCCGAGTTGCTCCGTACCCTGAGCCAACGCCTGTTACACACCACGAGATTTCCATAAATTTCATTCGGTCCGCTTCCAACTCACATACCAGACCTCCACAAACACTGAACCAGTGACAATAGACCTCGACTACGCACCATGTACTTCCCTACCATCATCACCACCGCCCTCTTGGGCGCTTCTATCACCGTTGCGGTCCCCGCCTCCACAAGCGAAACCAAGCGAGCAACACTCTGTTCCGGCCTCGAGAGCGAGCCTCAATGCTGCGCCCTCGATGTGCTCGGTATTGCTGATCTACAGTGCGACGCCCGTACGTTGCCCCTGTCTTTCTCCAGCTCTATACCTTTTCCCAAAAGGAGGTAGCTGATTGATTTGTAATTATAGCTCCCATGAACACTACTAGTGTCGCGGATTTTGTAAGCCTCTGCGCCTCTCTGGGACTCGAGGCTCAGTGCTGTGATATCGATGCCGTGAGTCATGTCTGTTGGAGCAAGCATGGTGTAACGTGGTGTGTACTGACTGCTTTCACAGCTCGGCGAGGCGTTGCTTTGCGCGTCACCTTGAAACTTAGCCATATAGAGTTGGGGTTCATAGAAAAATTCCACCTGTCTCCTCGTCTCATGAATACCCACTCATCATCATGTCCTGCATCCACCATCTGTCCAGAACACTTTCTCTAAAGCATAAACCCTAGCGAATCCGACGAGACTTTTACAGCCCCTTCAATATGAACCTTGACTGCACCATCTTCTTACCTGAAGCCATTGTACCAATCCTCAGCCACTTTTAAGCCGACTGCGATTGCGCAGCGTTTCATACGTGGATTTTAGATTATCCGCTAGATTGCGATCCCATTGATGTGGATGGCGAATATGCTCTAGCATTCGTAGGTAAGTATCCCTCGGTGGCCTCTTTCTCTGTGAGAGTGCTGTAGGAGCTACGGTAGGCGACACATTCATCGCCGCTGGCGCCGTGATCTCGCACAACGAAAACGTGTATCACAGCGATAAATCTGTGCTTCCCAAGGCGGGGGCGTTCATTCCTGAACGATAGCTTGGCGAAAGTGTTAGGGAGGTGGAGAAGGCTGGGTTGGTCATGTCGCGTATGCAGAGAAGCTTCATATCTTCCCACTGCGTAGAGAGTATGAAATCCTACAACGATACCTGACACTAGACTCTACAGCCTTTGATCCCACAGCCGATAAGGCAATTTAGTAACCCTTAAAGTCCCAGGGCAAGTTTTCCCTCCAGACCAGTAACATTAAGTCGAAGATTTTCGCACAGACCGTGGTGATGAAGCCTTCTCTGCACAGGGTACTGTCTATCCCAATAGCGACTCGGGAAAACCAGCCAGCGTGAGCTGCTTGAGACTGATCTGCAGTCCCTGTGCCGAGGACATCAGAAAGAGAGTCTTCTCCAATACATGTAGCGTGAATAGTAGGACACCCATCATTCGGGAACCAAAATCAGCAGCTAGCTCGTCACAATCAATCATTCGGTCGCTTAATATCGCTTGTACTACTAGTGAGACCTTAAATAGAAGGCTACGTCGCGGCCGCTTACGCGCGCTTATCCACGGCGACGTCGTCGCGCGCTCACGAACTTATCTTGTGCAGCCTTGTTCTGCCAAGTTGAGCTCATATGAGCAATCAATCAAGCATTCCCTCAATCAATACTGTGGGGAGAAGTTGCTGTGTCTAAGTATCCTCTCTGTCGTCGCCTTTCCTCGGATGAGCGAAGAACATGCAACTATGGTGCCGGTTCCATTTGAACAAAGGCACGAGCTCTTTTCTACCACAGCGACCTCATCGGCTACCACATCGTCACCCTCTGGATCCGGCCAGCTAGGCAGCGGTAGTCTTGGGAGATTGGTCCTGCCTGCGGTTCATCAAGGTCGGGATCACATGCTAAGTCTAATCAACCCTATGAAGGAAGAGGATCTGCGGAGATATCTGAGAGGCGATCTGGATGTCGACGGTCTGAACAAGGTCCACAAGCATCTCTGGTTTGCTGGGCTCCCTCAATGCGCACGACCACTGCACCATCAGCTTATGATCGATCGGAAGATAATCATCACGGAACGAGCAGACCTGCACTTGCTATGGCAAGATGAGCGTCTCTACCTCAAACCCTTGCCAGACTATCTGCTGAGCTACGATATTTGGGAAGGGACCCTACTGAAAGATTGGTGTCTCTCCGAAAATGCCAAAGGCTTTCTGTTGTCCTACCTCTGGCTGATTCGCCAAAAGAGTGATTTGGTGATTGCCCAACGCAACAACCTAGTCAGCAACGATCTTACCTGGGAGCATTGGATCTCTTTCAGCACGGCTGTCTTTCCAAACATCGTATCTGATACGTTCCAGGGTATTAGTCCTCGATATCTATACGGCGAACTTCGTCTCGGACGAGTCAACCTGATCTACCGTCTTTGCCGTAATACCAGAAACTTTGAGACGTTCGTTAGGGGTCACTTCTATGGCTATCATACCTATTCAAGCTTTATAGAACAAAATTTTGCTTGGGTCCTGACAGTTATCGTCTACATCACAATTGTTCTGACAGCCATGCAAGTCGGTCTCAGCACGACCGAGCTACAAACCAGTACCTTGTTCAATCGAGCATCTTATGGCTTCACGGTCTTCTCTATAATGGCGCCGTTGGGAATTCTGTTTGGTGTACTTGCTGTGCTTCTGATGCTCATCATCTTCAACCTCAACTATGCGGTCGAGAAACGGTATGCCACGCGACAAGGCTTTCCGACCGTTTTCAATAATGTGACACTTCGACCTTACAATCACTAGGTATCCTGCTACAGTTACGGGAGAATAGCGCATTGGATAGGGTGAGAAAACTCATTGCTGTGCCACAGCGAAGGAAAGGAAAAGGGGTCACGGCGTAGCTCTGGGATATATAGGATAATGCCCGTGGGAAGTGGCAAAGCACTAGGTGTAGGTGGCCAACTCATCAGAGTCTGCGCCTCTGCCCGGAATGATGCCCATTTTTCGTCGCTCGGCTAGACATGTCCGAGTCCGAGTCCAACCCTGAGCTGTCAATATGCTGACGAGGCTGGCATCCCACAATTTCGACCTAGTCCCAGAGTAGTTAGCATTACGCAGAGCTGGCTCAGCTGGAAAGCGGGGTAGATGACAGCTCATTGATGCAGTAATACATCCTCCATGTTGTCTCGCAAATCGATGGAGGGAGTTCACGCTTTCTAAAGGCTTCTTAAGGCTTGATCTATCGTAGATCCCAGTAAGTATGTCATAATGAGTAAGTGATCAGGTAAGCGAAGTTGACAAGGCTGGCTGAGCAGATCGCAATGGCGGACTCGCAATCGACTTCCCACGATAAGCCTATTGTCCAAATGGTGAGTGCAGTAGATGAGCGACATGGCACAGCAACAGTATACTGACTCTGCTTGCAGCCATGGGGCTTGCACCTTCTTAGTGATCACACTAGCGAAGCTAGACAGGGGGGAGTTGTTGTGGAGTTGGTGCCTCTTCACGTTAGGCGGTAGCGCTTGTCTTGCTGATGCGTGTAATCCAGCATTATCGCCGTTCATGGTCTTGGCGCGAATCCTGACCACGCTTGGGTGCGGCATAAAAATACGACTGCGGGACCCGATAAAGATGTGCGATGGCTCACGGATCTGCTACCGCAGACATTCCGTGATTTTGAACCCAGTATCAGTGCTCGCATCTTCTGTTTCAACTATCAGTCTGCGTGGCTTGGACCGCAGCTGAGCAGGAACCGACTGGAAGGTCTCGCAGGGAGGTTGCTGGATGATGTCCACAATGGCAGAGGCAAGGTAAGTCATATCCATGAAGGACTCTTCTATGCGATACTTACTAATCGTGACTGCAGAGTGGCACTGTGTCAGATCGACCACTCATCTTTATTGGCCATTCCTTCGGTGGACTGGTGATCGAGCAAGCGGTAGTCCAAGCAAACTCTGCGGGGGGTAGGTATGAGTATCTCATTAAGCTTATTGGCGGCGTCGTCCTTCTTGGAACCCCTCACCAGGGATCAAAGTCTCAAAAGTGGGGCTCGATCCTGGCAAATCTGGCCCGTTTAATCGACTATGGTGAGACCGGACTGATGGAAGAGGTGGATGAGAAGTCGATGAAAATATTCGACCTAATCTCTGAATTCAAGAAAATCATGATCAGCATTGACCTGGCGAAGACAGCTGTCATATGCTTCTACGAGAATCATCCGACGAACTATTTGTCGCGGGTGATCAAGACCGGACCGTGGCTTCAGAGACAAACGTCATCCGTGGTGAGAATAATAGATTGGCTTTCTAGGCATCAGAACAATCACTAACGACAGCAAGGTTGTTGAAGAGACGTCGGCGGTGTTGTCCGGATTCTATTCCATCGTCTTGGATTCGGACCATTTGAAGTTGAACAAGTTCGCAAGTCCACAGGACGGGAACTACATGTCTGTGTCCTCGAACCTGTGCAGAATAGCGGCAGCAGCGCCCGAAATCTTTCGAAGCCATCGAAAAGGTCAGTGGAAATAAAGCGAGTTGTCTGATTGCTTTTGGCTGACTGCAAATCTGCAAAAAGGGACGGCGTCTAATCAGGACAAGTACTTTTTAGTATCTCGAGAACGAGTCAAGGATTTTATTGGCCGTGATAGTCTGCTTGACCAAATTTGGTCGCATTTCTCCCGCGACCAAACAGGACCACCGCCATGTTTGATCCTCCACGCCCTTGGAGGGCAGGGTAAAAGCCAGATTGCGTTGGAGTACTGTCGAAGGTGGCGAGAAACGTACCGTGGTGTCTTCTGGATCAACGCCAATTCTGAGATGACGGTCACGCAATCATACGCTACGATTGCGGCCGAACTGCCGGGAGGATCATTACACGGGACAGATGATAGCGCCGCTTTGATCAAGGTGGTCAGAGAACGTCTAGAACAGTGGAGTGAAGCGTGGTTATTGGTGTTTGATAACTACGATGAGCCTGAGCGACTCCCTGCAATCAGGCAATTCATTCCAACCAGTAGGCGGTTTTCCGTTGTTGATGGTCGAGGCGTTGCTGACCTCAAGGCTAGAGGGGCACGGTCATGTCCTTTTTACCAGCCGTAATCGAGATCTCAGTCGACTCGGCACGCTTCTTGAAATCCCACCGATGGCGGCGGACGAGGGCGTAAGGCTTTTACTGCGTGGGTACGACGTTAATGACATACAACAAGCACACCACGACGCGGCGTTGAGAATCGTCAACCGCCTGGGTCAACTCGCTCTTGCTATCGATCAGGCAGCCGCGTACATCAAGTACAAAAGGATGCCGCTAGATCGATTAGGAGATTTCCTGACCACGTACGAGGCCGAGCGACGTCGAATTCTCTCCTATACCCCGAAAATTCTTTGGGAGTATCGGAAGATGCAGAGTCAAGGACAAACGGAACCTATCAGCGCCTTCACTACATGGGAAATGTCCTTTCAGCAACTAGGGTCAGGAGACGAGCCGTGGAAGAAAGTTGAGGCACATTTCCTGACATTGTCTGCTTTTTTCGCTCCTACTTCAATCACTGAGTCTCTTTTCCGCTACTATCACGAAAGATATGGCGGTAAAGTAGAATGGATACAGAAATTCAGCCTGGCCGATGGGGACGAGGGGGACGAGGAGGACGAGAAGTCGGGCATGCTGTCTTCCGGCGGTGGAACTCATGGTACGTGGGATTCTGATCGATACTGGGACATTGTCGACAAGTCGGCCGAACTGTCTCTGCTGCAAAGCGTCTCCCCAGGAACAGGCCAGCAGGGAGCAAGTTTTTCCTTGCATCCGCTTATCCGAGACTGGTTGCAGCTCCGATTGAAAGGAAAGGAGCGCCAAAAGTATACGCAGGAAGCGATCGAGGTCTTAGCATGCTGTGCGAAGGCATACGGGATTCGCTCGACTAGTTTGGAGGAAAGGACAGCGCTGATAACGCACATGGATGTGTCCTTGTCAAACGATGAAGAAATCTTGGAGCCGCAAGACAGACTTGGTTGTAATGTTGCAAATCGCAAAGCGGCAAGCTGGTTTGCAAGTTTCTATGCGCATCAAGGGCGATATCGTACAACTGAATCCCTATTTCGCCGTTTGGTAGAGACTCTTAAGAGTAAAGTAAGCGAAGAGCATCCTTTGACGCTAGTGCGCATGAGCAATCTAGCGATGACCTTGAAAATTAATGGCAAGTACGAAGAGGCTGACTCAATACACCGACAAACCTTGAGGCTGAGGAAGAAGGTACTGGGGGAGAATCATGTTGATACCTTGATAAGTATGCACGACCTGGCATCGTTATTGAGTGAACGGCGCAAACTTGAAGAAGCAGAATCACTATGTCGACAAACAATAAAGTTACGAGAAACGGAGTTGGGAAGTCAGCATCCTGATACCTTGTCAAGCATAAGCATGTTGGCCGACATACTGGGCAATCGAAAGAAATATGAGGAGGCCGAAGAACTTTTCCGCTCGACATTGCTGACGCAAGGAACGGTATTGGGCAAAGAACATCCTCTTACATTACGAACTATGACCAACCTTGCGGTTGTATTGCGGAACCAAGAGAAGTACGATGAAGCCGAACAAATTGATCGATCGGTATTGATGACGAGGGAAATCGTACTCGGCAAAGAACATCCTAATACATTGACTACTATGAGTAACCTAGTGAGATTATTGATTCTCCAAGAAAGTTACGACGAGGCCGAGCGGGTGGGTCGACAGACATTGATGATGCAAAACATTGTATTGGGTAATGAACATCCTGAAACATTGGAGAGCATGAACAATTTGGCCGTGCTTTTAATGTACCAAAACAAATACGAAGAGGCCGAGCGGATGGGCCGACAGGCATTGATGATGGGAGACACGGTAAACGGCAAAGAGCATCCTGACACGTTGTTGAGTATGGAGAATGTGGCATGCTCGTTGATGGGGCAACGCAAATACGACGAGGCCGAGCGGTTATATCGACAGGTATTGATGCTGAGAGAAAAGGTATCAGGCAAAGAGCATCCTGATGCGTTGTTGGGTATGAAGAATCTGGTGTACCTGTTGATGAGGCGAGGTAAATACGACGAGGCCGAGCGGATGGGCCGACAGGCATTGATGCTGAGAGAAAAGGTATCCGGCAAAGAGCATCCTGATACGTTGTTGAGTATGGTGAATCTGGCGAACACATTGAGGAGGCAAGGCAAATACAAAGAAGCCGAGCGAACATTTGAGTGGGGAGACGAAGGAGAGGGGAGCGGCGGTGGGGAGCGACGCGACGAGGGAGATGGGAACGAACGGTTGCGGCCAAGGATAACAGGAGTAATGGCGAGGAAGCTGCCATTATCTAGCAAATTGTCTCCTCACTATAAAGGCAGACGGAGAAATACGATGTAATGGGCACCCTCAGATGGTTGGCCCGTAGATCAATGTGGACCGCATCATACTACAAAGGCTTGTCTAACAGGATCTATACTATTTCTTGTTTCACAAAGCAGCATCTGAGGCAGTTCCGGTCGCGAGCCCAGTAGTCATCTATCCATAGTACCACGATTCGAAACGCAGATCTGGACTTCTAAGAAAAGTAGACCGATTCTAATCCTCCAATTTTGGGAAGGAGTAAGCGGCCACATTCTCCTCAATCGGGCATGCGGGGCAAGCTTCTGGGAAATTGCCGCAACCGCAGAATGCTTTCATCATACCCTTTTGCACGAGTGGAATGTCAACCTTGCCCCTACCGATGAGACCCTCATTTAGGGTACGCATATTGAAGTTCTGTGAAATCCCATTCATCTCCCTCCTCCAGACGTTCGTAGGTTAGTAAGTCTGTTCGTACAGCGGCCTGAAGGGATGCGAGAACTTTGTTCCCGCCAAAAAATTTCTCGTGGTCAGGACTGTCAGGACAGTAGGGCAGGTGGGGTTCACGACTTGCTTCTTCACCTGCGCTCATCTAGTCTTCGCCGTACTCAATGAAGGTACTGAACTCATGCTCATCCTCCCTTTCGTTTGAGTTGGACCGTCGCCTAGAAGGTCTGGCTTTCCATTCTGCTTGTGAGTGCCTGAGAACAATAGTGAGGACCTGCCAACCTGTACTCAGCTCCCTAGACCACATCGAACTCGAGCTAGCCGGCACCTTCATCGCGAGCTCAACAGGGTCCATTTCCTCGTGGCTGCATTCGTCAACATCTTCATTGCCCAGAAGAGCCTGCACAGAGACATTTGCCTTTAGCAGGGGATTTGCTCCATAACTCAAGAGGCAGAGCAGACAGGCGAGGATGCCAAAACGAATTTCGTTTTTGCAACCAGAGCGAGAAAGATGAAGTCCAACCAAAATCAAGGTATGTAGGGGTAAAAGCTGCAGCTTAAGTCCACAATGCGAGCAACGTCTCAGTAACAGCACACTTGGTACGTTGATGTCTGGCCTCCAGCGAGGCCCGTGCCCGAAGACGGTTCCTAAGCAATGACAACTGGTCTGAACCGAGGTGTGACAGACCATGTACTTCCATTGAAATGGTATGCCCGAAGGACCGTTTGCTAAAAGCGTGCGAACGCAGTCAGAGTCAGCGTTCCATCGACCGCAGATATCCACGTCTTCTCCCTCAAAACGTTTGTCTTTCTTGAAAATGACGTCAACTACACTGGGCAAGCAAGACGTGTGAGCTTTGAGTATGGTAATCATGAGTTGATCTAGAACTGGATGGCCCAGGTCATTGACATAGATTTTGCGGAGAGAGCGCGGATGATCGAGAGCGTCGAGAACATTGCAGCATGTCTTTGACCCGTCTAGGTATCTGCCGGCGAGGTGAAGCGGGTAGAGCCCGGTGATGTCAACGTTCTCCCCAATTTCTTCAAGGAGGTCAATTACTAAGTTCACATTTCGACTCATGATGCTGAAGCCAAGAGCCTCTTTGAGAAGCTCTTTAGGTGAGTCTCGTGGCGCTCTGGCCATAAGATCCACTGCTATCGGCGAACCATCGAGGCTGAGGTTGCTAAAATCGTTGCTTTCGATGTTATCACTGAGCTTATCAGTGAACTGTTTGGACTCACAAGAGCCAGGCCACGTTGGCCAACTTTTCTCGTCGTTGAGGTTGAGATTCTCTGTTGGGAAACGTGGTGGGGAACGTGGTGGGGAAGAGATTGGCAAGCCGTAGTAATCGTAGTGAATGCTCCACCGACAAAGAGACGACAGCATCCTTACGGAGCTTACCAGGGTGGCATCAATGGTCTCGTCCTCTCTCGGAGCCGGCTGGGATGCTGTAGTACCCATACTCACTCCCGGTGTGTCCGGCGAAGAAATTAAGATAGATTCTCGTTGACGGTAGTCATTGAAGCCAGGAATATCAGCAGTCCAATCTTGAGGACCCCGGGGCCAGTGCTTTGCTGTTTTAAAGGCGAAGAGCCAATACTAATACATCCAAGTCGACATGGTGCTATACATGCGGTCAGGAGCGCCGGCACCAGTACTGGATAGATTACTCACACCCTCTATAGTTCTTCCATTGATCTAAGCAGCTCCATGTGTCTTCCTTGTACGAAGAGCCGCGCTGTACCAATAGCAGTCATTTCTGTGACAGCCACAGCCATGGGAGACGGCGCTCCATGCGGGAACTGTGGAGCAGTGACTACAACGTCACTGAGTGATAAGACGTGATCCGCAGCTCTGGCTGCTGAAGATCTCATAGTACCGTAAGACATATTCCAATTCATAAAGCTGGCCAACAATGAGTGGGTCAGAAGCTGCTGCTGGGCTCAAGAGCCTTTACATATTATTACCACTCTGAGTGATATGTCCAGAGAAGGAGCTAACATCTCCGACCGCTCCGCCTGCGTCTGGTTGTAGTATGATCGCCCTTCTTCTCTCAGTCCTGACATATCTCCGGAGGTTCTTGGTGTCAAATTTTTGCCCTCCGCGTGTGATAGCGGACGATGCGCCCAGCTATACCCTTGTTTAGATGACATGAAACAACGCGGCCTTCTCCGAAATCGAGTCATTCTTCTTCAACTTCCACTTCTTGGTTACCTAATATTTATACTGGGACTCACTAGATACAGAAGAGAGGAATCAAACATTCGGCTCTAAAGGCGCGATCAGCAAAGGGTGTATGCAGGTGAGACTCACGCTGCGTCGAATGCGTACTGACCTTTGATAGCTTTGATGACGTCGGATAGGCTCCAGTTTTCATGAATGTACAGACGCTCGATGGTAGGTTTGAGAAGCTCCCATTTCCGATCGAATGGGACACCAAGAAGCGAAAGGGGAAGACATTGTGGATCCACCAGATCCATAGTGAACAACGACTAGGTCGAGGTTGATATGATTGAGCTCGTGAAATATAAGGCGAAGGCTGTTGAGTATGAGAAAGAAAATAGGAATATCCGCATATTTGCATATGGCCCTGAGGCTGGGAGAGCAGGGTCCTCGGACACGTGTCCATTGATCTGGCCACATTGAACAAGCCATGGTAAAAGGGGATGGAGGTGCAATATTGAAAGGGTAGGTAGAGTGATACGTATGAAGCGGTGGGTGAGACGCCAAGGCGAGCAAAAGAAGACTGACCATAGAGAGACGAGAGAGGATACTTTAGACTTCCGAGTCCAAGGCGAAAGCGCGGGAAGCGGCTTTAGCAGCAGTGGCGTCTGAAGCCTCGGAAGCTAAGGCTTAGTCGTTGATCATCCAACATCACATCCCGCGTCTTATATGGCTCCTAGTCTCATTCTACGCGCTGAACAGAAGTGTACTGTCCAATCGAGTGAAAGAACAGGGTAAGTATTGAACGCACCTCTACAGCAAGGGCCAATAGATGGGAAGTGGCGGCACACACCGTAACCGACCGGCTTACCCACAACCATGGACGCTGATGCAAACAAAAGTAGACTGGCCAACCATCGGACTTTAGCGTGTCGCAAAGAAACCCTGTCATCGATGCTCCTTCGAGGATCGGAGCGCAGGCCGATAGACAGGAGCTCTTCTTGGAAGGCGGGTTTGAAACGTGACCCAAGCCGAGGCAGCGTCACGCAGGAACACGGACGATATTTCGGTTGGAGCCTCTGCATGCATGATAGGATAGAAAGAAGGACCAGGCAGGCTGCATACATACATACATACACACAGTCTTCTAGACTTCAGTCCGGACGGGACACTGCACGATTGCCGCAGTGTCCGATGAGATAGATGATCGAGTCCCAACCGAAAAATCCCCCACCGGCCCGAAAGACTCAATGCTTGTTTCGTTCCTCCCGTACTGCTGTTCATGCCTATAATGGCAAGGCAAGTGCCATTGCAGGGTCAAGTGCTGCACCAGGTTCTCGTGCGTTAACAGATTGGGCGAGCGCCGCCCTCTTTTCGTGCGTCTGAGGCTAGGCCTCCTGAGTTGCAAATTGTTTACATTCTCAATGTGAACTCATTCAATTTCCTACATTTCTTCACGTTACTTCTCGGTCTTCGCCTATTGCGGCACCCGGGGCGCGACCTCTCTCCAAAACTGACATCGTGAACCTCTACCGCCCTCCCAGGTGTCAGCGTTGACCAGTCGAAAGTCGTTGCTAACGCCCGGGTCCAAACGAAGGTCATACGAATAGCTAGGCGTCACCAAGACGCTCTGCACCATCCCGCCCGTCGTGTTGAGGTTCATCTGGATATTCGACGTGTTCGAGTACGTTGGCCAGTGCAAGTCACTGCCATGGCCTCGAGGCACTGTTGCGTTTGTAGCGTTCCCGCTGGCTTCGATGATCGGAATCACCGGACTGTTGTTCATAATGAAATTGCCCCATAATTTCTGGAACGCATAAATAAAATCTAGGGTTGGTGTCGTTGCGTTAACTGAAAAATATGCGGTCAGGTCAGCGCCATGGTACGCTGGAGTGACGGAATACTGGTATTTCCAGCTCTCTCTTCCGGCACCTGAGAACGCTTCTGCGAACCAGTAACCAGGACAGGTAAATGTGACCTCGCTGTTGAGATTGAATGCGCGTTGTTTTTGACCTGTGGCGAACTCGGATTGGTTCAGAGCCGTAGGTCCGCTGTTGCCAAGGGTATCGAACAGTGGTGCTGAAAGGTCAGTGTTGGCACTGTCAAATTGATAAATCTGCAGAAGGCGTGATTTATCGGCTGCGGTAAGGGAGGGCAATGTGGTATTGACATAATTTAGGAAGTCGTCCGCGGTAAGAATTGTTGAAGGGGTCAGCGGAGCACCTTCATTCGCATTATTCTAAGAATCTTGTCAGAAGGTAGGTCGGCTGAGAATCTGGCAATTATAGCACACACCCCAATAAGGAGACGTTTTCCGCTCACTGCTTTCTCAAGTAACTGCTGTGATGGCGCCGCTTGGACGAAGTTACCGTCCGTGACGGGTAAGAAAGCGAAAGTCCCAAACTCTCCAGACTGCGACACAGTAGCACTAGCGTTTTGTAGCACGGCCGTGTTCGCGCTCACTAAACAGTTGAAGACAGAGGACTCGGTGGTATTTGAGCCAGCAGTGCAACCGGCAGCTTTGGCAAACGCCTCGTAATACTGGGTTGGAACCTGATCATTGTAGTGATACTGCTTTGCCAAATACACACTTGCGGCTATAAGCTTTGGAACGAGTTAACCGAGTACTGCTTATTGAGCAGATGCAATCTTACGTTGTCAAAAAGCGTAACATTCTGCTTGCCCCCGTACGCCATTGCTTGTAGCATGACAGAACCAGCACCAGCAGACTCACCAGCAAGAGTAACCTTCCTGGGATCTCCGCCGAACTTTTTAATATGATTTTGGACCCATCGAAGAGCAAAGTGTTGATCCAAAAGACCAGCATTGACTTGGCCATTTTGTTTGACATCTTCGGACGATAGGAAACCAAATGCGCCAAGCCTATATTGGATGATGACTGAAATGAAACCATTGTCGTTTGTGTTAATCAGCTGGCTAGGATCGTACACTGCCCCAAAGAGACCGTAACCGCCTCCATCTAAAGGAACATTAGCTTTTGGCTAGAGCTTGGGACGAGGATCGGGCGAGTCAGCATACGGATCCAAAAGATGACTGGCAGGTTCTTCGCATGCGGGGGTGCATAAACATTGAGGAACAAGCAGTCTTCATCACCTGGTCCCGAATTGAAGCCATATATTGCAGGGGTTTGCGCGGCGCCGGATTGTGGACAAAGTGGCGGTTGGACTACGGCTTGGGTGATGGTGTTATTCTCTGACGGAGCTGGGGTCTGAGGTGCCTGCCATCGTAGCTTGCCAATCGGAGGAGCAGCGTATCGGATGCTGCGAAACTTGCGTCAATTGACTTTCTCACATTGTCGAAGGCAAACTCTTAGCAGTCGCAGCGCACCCTTTGAATACATTGAGCCCAAATTCGGAGTCGTAGTATCCTTGGTAACGATCATAGCCAAGGTCGACAATTGGAGCAGCAACAGAAGCAGACCGCCTATCACTATTGTAAAGGGGCAGGATATACCGCGTGGCAGGCGTGGTAGGTGTGTTAGGCGTGGCAGATGTGGCGACGATGCTAGTAAGCAGCACGCAAACTCTGCACCAAAGGCGAGTAAGTTCCATGGTCAGATGCAGGTCAGCAATCGTGATTTGATGGGGTAGAATGGTGAGTAATGTAGGACTGCAGGACTGCAGGACTGCAGGGGAGACGGGAGGGAGAGGGGGACAAGGACTCTAATCTATGTTATCACGAGGTTACATGGGAAGGTTGTAGTATCGGTCAATTCGATGCGACCAAAAGCCACTCACATATCTGAGCAATAAGGTACCTGATTACTCTACTATGACTGGTGGCTACTTTTGCGGCTGTTGCGATGGCACTTGTGACGTCATAACCGATCTGCTGATCAATTCAACTCATGCAGTTCACTTCTCCATCCAGCTTCTGAAACATCAAAGAGCACATATAATCAGGACTCGGATGGTATTCTTGATGACAGCGCGAATAGCGTGAGTCAATTTACCTTTTCCACGGCCCCAAACTTCGACTCATTGACCAATTACCGTAATTAACAACGTCCTTTACTTTATTAGTGTACAACATATTATCCGCCCGAATCCAAACCCACTCCCACCCACCAGACCCACCCCACTCTCTTCAACCGTTCTTCCGCCATCCCGTCCCACGTCAAAGTCGCGACTGCGTAATTGGATAATGACTCTAGAAGGATGCCGATTACATATTACTGACAGTCCTATTGCCTGCACCTCTCCGACTAACCGTAACCCTTTTCGTCCTGGCATTGACTGAGATGATGTGATCGAAGCTATCCTCGTCATGCTTGTTTC